AAAAAAAAAAAAAGAACCTTGGAGAATCAAGAGGGTCTCTTGTCTTCAGCCCTCAAAGCACACAGGCTCAGGCCCTTTCCTCCTTGCCCCCGGCGCTGGCTTAGCATCTCCTGTTCCAGGAAGGTCAACCTGGAAGGGGGAGGTGCTGCATATAAGGACGTGGTAGCAGGTGGAGTCTGTCCATATTTTCTTTGAACCTGGTGGGATCTGGGTAAACCTAAGTATCTCTGTAGAAAATACATTTCTGTTAGTACTTACTATGCATCAGGTCCTTTATACATTTTATACCCAAATAACCATTTTACAGAAGAATAAACCAAGGATCGGCACTTAAGCCCTGATGTGAATTCATATCAGGGTAGGGTCTGAGGGGACACCAGCTACCAAGGGCTTATTTCATGTGTCCCAAGCCTTTTCTCCCCTTGTGCTAGAGCATCATGGCCTGGACCTTGGGATTTTCTCGTCTCCCTTCACTCTGGTTTCTCTCCCAAGTGGTTTAGGGACATAAACTAACATCAGTGAGTCAGTCCCGGGCTCATGTAACTGTGAGCTCTCCCAGCAGCCTAGCTAGGGTGAAGAGGCTCATGGAGGTCGCATCCAGATCCACAGCTGCCCTGGAACCACACTCCTGTCTACACTGCTGGGTTCTGATCAGGGACACGTTGTATGGGGAAGAAGAAACCCTTGACCCTGAAGGAGCCTGGCCTCGCTCAAGGGGTCTGGGAAGCAGTCAAGCCTTGGGGGAAAGGTGAGGTGGGGCTAGTGGATGTAGCCTCTGCCCAAAGGCCCTCTGTGGATGGATACCAAGTTCTTCCCTCTCCCTCAAGCATCTGAAATACGGGCCTTGGTATTTATTTTTTTATAAGAGCTTTATTGAGATACAGTTTATGTACAATAAAATTCGACTTTATAATTCAGTGGTTTAATGTATTCATAGAGTTATGCACTCATCACCACTGTCTAAATTGAGAACTTTTTTTTTTTTTTTTTTTAAGATTTTGACAGCACGAACGGGGGAGCTGCAGAGAGGGAGAAGCAGGCTCCCCAGTGAGCAGGGAGCCCGATGCGGGGCTCGATCCCAGGACCCCGGGATCATGACCTGAGCTGAAGGCAGACGCTTAACGGACTGAGCCACCCAGGTGCCCCTAAATCGAGAACATTCTCATCACCCCCAAAAGAAACACCATGCCCATTAGCAGGCACTCCCCCATGATCCCATTCCCCCCACCCCCAACCCAGCACACTCGGCTCCTTTCCCCAAAGTTCTGCCTGTTCCGGACATTTTGAATGAATGGAATCACACAACAGGAGGCCTTTTGGGTCTGGCTTCTTTCACCTGTCACAACATTTCCAGGGTTTATCCGCGTGGTCCCCTGCGTCAGTACTTCTTACTGCCCAGTGATACTCCATTGCATGGACATGCCCCGGCTTATCTGTTTCGCCCTGGATACTGAGAGGTTTGTTTTGAAACCACCTCAGAGATCATTTGCGGGTAACTCAGAGCGGGCCGGCGACACTGCTGTGTCATTCAGGCGGCCAGGCGCACCCTGGCCAGCATTTGGCCGCGGAGAGTGGGATCCAAAAGCAGAGGCCCTGCAGGGGGGCAGACCTCACACCTCCACTGACCACCCCCTTTCCCACACCTCCCCTCCCATCTTGCTTTCCCCTCCCAGGACCCTAACCGGAGCAGAGTGGGAAGTCCTTTCCAGGGGCCTAGCCAATTTAGAAAATCTGTTTGCATGGCAAAGGCCCTGTGGTTTAGGATGGGGAATTAAAGTTATTAGCAAGTCTTTTCACAGATAAGTGGGGCTCATTGGCCAGCGCCCTCCCCTGGGGCGAGCCTCGCCTCCCTCTCTCGGAGCCGGGAGCGGCCCAGTGTTTATTAGCACCCGGGTGTGAATTTTCATTAACACGTCTCTGCTAATAAGACAGAGGACCAGGGATGGGAAGGGGTCTCCTCGCACCGCTCCTGCGCCTGCGCCCCCTTGCTGGGCCAGCGCCCCCGCACCCGGAGGAAAGCCCGTGTACCCGTTCCGAGGCACTGGGGCGGCCGGCAGCTTCCAGGTAGGCGAGAGCTTGTGCTCTCTCGGTTCTCCGCCAACCAGCCTGTGAAGGCGGCCCGCTGGTGGGGCCGTGTTAAGGATGGGAACGTGGAGCGAGGAGAGGCTAACGAACGCGCCCGGGCAGACGGTCAGGGGCAGCGTTGGATGGGGACCCGACGGGAGTGCAGCTTCCCCGGGGTGCACACACAGCTGAACACCAGCCTGTCTCCAGGACGAGGACGAGGGTACTGGGTGGCGCCCCCCCCCACCCGCCCCGGGCCCTGGCCGGGGGTGGGGGCGCGCGCCTGCTGCGAGGCGGGAGCCAGAGGCCGGCATCAGCACGGGCCCAGGTCAGGAACCCCCCGCCCCCCCGGGCACAGGCCCACGGAGCGGCTCCCGCCAGCCGGGCTCGGTGGTAAGGGCTTTAAATTCAGCGCCTGACCTCAGGTCCTTTGAACCCGGGAGCCGCAGGGGAGGTGGGCAGGTGTGTGGGCTTAGGCCTATTTTACACAGCGGGACACGGAGCACGGAACACGGGGAATTGTTCACAGAGCTAGTGCCTGGCCGTCGGGGCGGGGACAACGGTGGGTGGTGGTTGACACATCGGGTCCTGGCAGGCGCGTGCGTGCGTGCGTGCGTGCGTGCGTTGGGAGGTGCAGAATGAGGCCCCTCGCGCTCCTAGGCCGCCCGTGCTATTGCTAGCAGGGAAGCTGCTTCTGCTTGCTGCGCAGGGATGTTGCCCCCGCTGAGAGGGTTGCACTGTGTGGGTGCTGAGGCCGAGGGGCCGCGTCCTAAGGAGGGGCAGCTAAGCTGATGGTTTTATAGCCAGGACATTTACTCAAGGACAAGCTACATGGGTCACCGTATGAACCCTGGGGGGAGGAAGAGGGTAGTGGTCACGGGTTGTCTGTCGGCGGATGGGAGGGGATAGGACTGAGGCTGGGCCGGGCCTTGTGTGCCTCGCTGCTGCGTCTGGAGGAGGCTGAGCCCAGATGTCCCTCTGGCCACGTGTTGCTAAATAAAGAGGGCCATCTGAGGGGCACACTGGTGCGCCAGGCTTCTGAAACAGCCTGTATCTGGAGAACCAGGGTAGCACAGGGCTGGGGAGGGCAGCTAGGCCGAACTGCAAAGCCCCTGCTTATCCCAGGGCGAGGCCAGGAGCCACCTTGTCCGCCCCACTCCCCAGATGTCATCCCTGCGTTTGCACAACCCTGAGCGTGGTGCCCCCTAACTATGGCACTTTGGGCACTCCTTTGACTCACACTAGCTCCAACAGTCCCCTGAGAAGACCCAAGGTTCTCTTTTTTTTTGAGAGAGAGCGAGTGAGCACACTTGTGTGCCAGCAGGGTGGGTGAGGGGGAGAATCTCAAGCAGACTCCCCCCGAGATCATGACCAGAGCTGAAATCAGGAGTTGGACATTTAACTGAGCCACCCAGGCAGCCTGAGGAGACGCAAGGTTCTTGGTCCTTCTGAGGGGTTCTGTCACCCAGTGGGCAAGGACCTCTTTTGGGGACCACTGGCACCGCCCGCTCAGCCTCCGGTGGTGCACCAGCCCTGAGTGGGGCTAGAGCCGTGGGTCCCCAGCTCAGCGCTGCTCAGGCCTCTTCTGCCCATTTCCCGGCACTTTGCCCAGCCCTGGGTCCTCCGCCCTCCTCCCTCCCCGTCTCCAGTGTACCTGGCATATGAGGCTCCTTGTGAATGCCCCAACTCCCCTCCCCCCACACACTAGGCAACAAGGAGGTGGCCTGGGTGGGCAGCACATGACTTTGGAGAGGGGGGACAGGGCCAGCTCAGCACCCCTCCTGCCTTCTTCCCTTGTGACCTGGCATTTCCCTGTCTTCAGATGGCTCTCCCCTCCTTAGTTTGGGTGGGCGTGACTTCCATGTCCCTCCAGGGATGGGCCCGTGTCACAGGCCTGCGCGGTCAGCCCCAGAGTGGTTCAGGAACGTGACCACACTCAGACCAGTGAGAAGCAGGCTTCGGACTTTGCTGGAACCGTCAAGAAAGGGACACTGGCTGTGGGTGCTGTTGGCGGTCATGTTGCCAGCCAAGCAGAGGGCCTCCCTTTTTATAGAGGGAATCAAAACGGAGGTGGAGAGTGCTGATGTTCTCCAAAACCTGGACCCAGCCACGTGGAATGCATCACACCTGGATTTTTACATTACATGAGCCAACCCGGAAGTTCATTTGAGTTGAGTCTCTGACACTTGCTGTTGAAAAAGTCCTTTAGGGCTTGACACAGGCTGTTCCAGGCCCGTGTACCCTGAGTCTCAATTTCCCTTCTGTGAAATGTGGATAACGAGAACCTCTCCAGTTCACAAGGTTACTTGAGGCGCACAGGTCAAGCCCACAATCACAGTAGTGCCCCGTAAACGTTCGTCCTCTGTCCCATTCGGGTGGTGTGTAAGGCCACGGCCATCATCCTAAGTTTTACTCCCTCACCGGAAACGAGAGTGGCCGCCGTGCGCGCCGTCTGTCTGGAGGAAGAGGGTGGTTGTGAAAGTCGCCGGTGCTGCCTGTCTCTTGCTCGCCCGGTGGGAGGGCGAGGGGCGGAATACCTCGGGGTGGGGGGGAACCTCTCCGTGCAGGGACGTCCTGCGGCCAGGACCAGCGCCGTGAAGGAGGTGTCGTGGCAATGAGGAGCGTGTGTGACCCCAGGGAGGAGAGGGATGGGGACACAAAGGGAGCTGCCTGTCGCCCACCTGTCGGGATCCCGGGGAGGCGGGGACGCGTCAACCACCTGCAGTTGTCAGACGCACCACACGGTGTCCTCGGAGAGGCAGGCGGAGGCCCTGAGCTGGGGCAGCCCTCTGTCCTGTGTTCCTGGAAGGGCCGTTTCCAGAAGAGAAAGGCACCTCTCTGCCCCCCTCCTGTCCTCCGCCCTGACCCCCACCCCCGGCCTCCTCTAGGGTTCCAGGCCAGGGGTGGTACGGTCCCTGCCTGCCACCTCGCGTCTCAGGCCCCTGTGACCTCAGGCAGTGCCGAGCCACCCTGAGCCTCAGCCTCTCCCAGGTGATTCCAGAAAGGTCATGCGCCGGCACAGAGAGGGAGAGGAAGTAGGTGGGGAGAAAGGGGGCCACAGAGTAGCTGGGGTAGCCTGGGGTCTTGCTCATTTGAGCAAAGTGACTCTCCCGGGCCTAGAAGGTGAGGGGTCCTCACAAGGCCCGGGACTCTGCCTGAAACCATTGCTCGCGCCCTGCTAGGGTCTGGCTCGGTGGGAAGGCAGGGCTACACACCACAGCAACTCTGGAGTCTGGAAACAGTATCGCTGTTTATTGGGGTGACACATCTGCCCATCTGAGGGCTCTGACAAGTGGCTTAGGGTTGAAGGCTCCCCAGATCATACCTCCGCCTTGCTGAGGTCCCAGATGGCCAGTCCAGCGGGCGCCTGGGCCTACTGAGCTGCAGCCCTTTGTCACCGCATCTCCTGCCGTCAGGGCACCCTGGGGTGAAGTGGGCCCGCGGTCAGCCTTTTCACAGAGCCCAGGGCAACAGCCCAGTCACTTCCTGAAGTTCTCTCTTTGGAGAAGCAAGGAATATCTGCGAAACCGGGTCCAGTGCTCCTGCTCTTTCACCTTCTTCTCCAGCTTCTGGAATCTGTGGGCCACATAGGTGGGGATGAGAGGAAACCGCTTGGTGCAGTCTGCCCCCCATCCCTCCCGCTCCTAGGTCCCTGGGCAGCCCCTGATGGCCCTGTGCTAAACTAAGAAACTCTCCAAATGGCACATCCACTGCCTGTCTGTGTCCTCAGGACTCAGCCTGGTGCACAGCCCGCCCTCGGAACCCCTTTACTGCCTGACGACAGGGCCGGCGTCCTAAACCAGGAGGCGCGCCCCGACAGAAGGCACCGCATGCTGGGGGGCTCACGGTCCGTGTGCGTGGACCACCGGGAGCCACATCACAATGCCAACATGTCCAGTGAATAAACACTCCTTGAACATCTACTAGCGTCACCAGCTGGACCCCAAGCCCTGACCTTGCCTGCCTGCCTGTTTGTACCCACTGACCTTTGTCAACAAGTAGTTTTATTTACTTTTTTTTTTTTAAGATTTTATTTATTTGAGAGAGGGAGATAGCGAGAGAGAGCACAAGCAGGGAGGGGAAGGAGAAGCAGGCTCCCTATTGAGCAGGGTGTCCCACGTGGGGCTTGATCCCTTTCCAGCGTATCCCTTAACTCAGGCAAAAGACCCAAGGGGCACAGCAATCGTGATTGAACCCGAAACTACCCCTCAAGCAATAACATCTACCCAGAGACTTCCGGAGGCCCAGGCCACCCAGACCAGTTTGAACTTAACCCCCAACTCAGGCCTGTGCACATGGACCATGGAGGGACCCACGGAGGGACCGACAGTTACCTTTACCTCAATATAATACTAAAATCTCCACCCAAGGAGGAGCACATGCTTCGTTTACATAACAACCAACCTATGGACAGGCATGTTTCCTTAAGGCACACGCATGACCCTATGCCCACCTCTACGTACCATGCGAGGCTTCCCTATCTAAATATTCATCCTAACCCTCACTCAAAGGAACCCATTCACCCTTGCTCAGGCAGTCCCAGCTTTGGAAGTTATTCCCCGTGATCTCCTCATTGGCTGCAGTGTGTGCGACAGCTCGCGTGGTGTAGTTTCCCAGTGAACTCACGTTGGTTTGGTTACACTCGTGACAGGCAAGGGCGCTGCAAGTGCGGGAAGGACCAGAGTGCCTAAAACAGCCCCGGTTCCCCCCGGTTTCCTAAGGGTGACAGGAATGAAAGAAGGTTTCTAATAGGAGGCATGTAAATGCCACCGAGGTCAAATGTAGGAAGGAGGAAGGTTCCACCCTGCCCAGGAGTGCTCCTGGGAGATAAGGTGTTTGAGTTGGGTCTCTTACAAAATAACAGGTTAATTAAAAAACAAAACAAAAAAACAAGTAAATGCACTTCAGTAGAGGAGAGTCAGAGAAGTCCAGGATTCACCCCTCATTCTGCAGGCAGAGGTGACCGCTGGGAGCACGCGGAGGACGCCTTCGATCTGGGGAAGGGGTGCAGGCTGCTGGCCAGGTTTCTGCCTGAGTGCACAGAGGGTGTTAAAACGCTGAGGGCAAGCAGGCGGAGGGCTCCTTCTGGGGAGAAAGGCAGTGATTGCAGCTTTGGATTTGTTTGGAGGCTCTGCCTGCCAAGGGACGTCCACATGGAGATGTATCTGGTACTCAACTCACTAAAACATTTTTTTCACTTGAAAAAGTAATCTATCCTTTGCTTTAAAAAAAATCAAAGAATCCAGGTGGATATACAATTACAAGCAATCTCCCTCTCACCTCACATCCTGGTTTTCCGTTCCCAAGGCACGTAATTAACAGCTCCTTGTAAATCCTTGGAAATTGTTTATACACGTATAAGCATAGACGTGCATAAAATCTTTTTTTTTTTTTTTTTTTTGCTACACACTGTTGCACACCCTGGTGTTTGCCTGGAAATGTATCCTAGAAACTGCTTCTAGGTGGCACTCACAGACCCGCCACCTTCTCTTGCCCTATCGAGGACACTCGGGGCTGCCAGTCCTTTGTTAATGCCTCCCAGGCTGCAGTGAGCGTGCCTGCGTGTGGGAGCGAAGGGCAGGGAGGTGGCAGAGTGTGTGCAGGTCACACACTCAGGCTTTGAACCCACACTGCTTGTGCCTTGCTTACAAGCTGGTGACCCTGGGCAGGCGATTTGACCTCCGTCAGCCTCAGCTTCCTCGCTGTGCAGTGGGGATAGTAATGACAGTAAAAAAATAGTACCTGGCACACAGTAGGTGCTCAGTACAGGTCAATCATCATAATACTTCTGCCGCTGATAAATTAGTGGAAGTGAAATTTCTGGGTCAGGAGGTCAAAACAACATGGATGGCTCAGTTGGTGGATGGAGGTAAGTTCGAGCCCCACATTAGGTGTAGAGATTACTTAAAAATTAAATCTTAAAGAAAGAAAAAGTGACCGTCCAAGAGGCAGCTGAATAGATGGAACGAGGGCCAGTTTTATTTATTACTTTACTTATTTATTTTAAAGATTTTATTTATTTATTTGACAGAGAGAGAGAGACAGCGAGAGAGGGAACACAAGCAGGGGGAGTGGGAGAGGGAAGAAGCAGGCTTCCCGCTTAGCAGGGAGCCTGATGCGGGGCTCGATCCCAGGACCCCGTGATCACGACCTGAGCCGAAGGCAGACGCTTAACGACTGAGCCACCCAGGCACCCCAAGGGCTGGTTTTATTTTTTTATTTTTTTATTTTTTTTTAAGATTTTATTTATTTGACAGAGACCCAGCGAGAGAGGGAACACAAGCAGGGGGAGTGGGAGAGGGAGAAGCAGGCTTCCCGAGGAGCAGGGAGCCCGATGCGGGGCTCGATCCCAGGACCCCGTGATCACGACCTGAGCCGAAGGCAGACGCCCAATGGCCGAGCCACCCAGTCGCCCCCCAAGGGCCGGTTTAAAGGAAACCTGAAAATAAAGCTGTTCGTGTGTGAAGATGTGGGTGATTTTCAACATACACTGTTGGTGTGGAGACGGCCTTTCTCTATGATCTAATGATAAGTAACGGCTAGCCTTTCCTGCATGTGCCATAATGTCCCATGCGGAGATACGGCTGACGCTTATTTCATGCACGAAGACACTGAGGCCTGTCCCGTCACACAGAGGCCCCCAGTCTGTGTCCCGGTCCTACTGCACAGCTTGCACCCTGAATTTGAGGCTCTTTATGCCCGCCCTTCAGTGAAGCCTAAGGGAGAAGGTAGAAAACTCCAGCTACCTGACCCTTGAAACTTCTGTTTGGCTAGATGAGCAGCCCCATTTGCTCCTATCTAAAGACAAACCAGGAAAAAATTATTCATAACACACTGGCACAGAACTCTTAAAATCAAAAGAAAATGAACTCACGCTTGGGAAAAAGATCCAAGGAAAGTCAAGGAAGGAGAGAGAGAAATGTACATTATATATAACAAAAAGCTGCTCAATCTCCTTCACTTCTTAATGAAAATAGTAATGAGCTATCAATTCCTGCCTGCCCAGCCCCTGGCTCCCTTGGCTGTGGACCTGGTCCGTTGCGTCACCGCAGAAGCCCACCTTCTGACAGAAAGCTGGCTGTGGAGAACCCCCAGTCTTGCTGGGCTTTGTATGCCACAGGGAATAAAGGGAAAGCGAGAGAGACAGACAGACAGGAGAGAGACATAGAGGGGAAGGGGCACTCTGTTTCTGTCTGCTTCCTGGTGTCCAGAAATTTCTGTCTTGTGATCAAGTTTGACCCGGCCAGAGATGGCAGACGCTAAAGCAGGGCAGGGAGCCAGGATATGGTGCCTGGAGACCGGGGCTGGAGGAGAGCAGAGGCCAGGCCTCAGGGAAGGGGCGACGGGGTGGGGGGTGGGGGCGCATATTTGGTGCTAACTGGCCTCCTTTTAAAGCCCAAAGGCAGGCTCCCTTTTGCACTGGCTGTTTACAAAACAGTCCCAAGTGCAGGTTTTGTGAAAACAATTTGGACAGATGATTGCAAGTCTAAAACTTTGAATCGATTGCCACATAAACCCATTGCCTTGAAATTTCACCTAGTTTTAGGGCCAATGGAAGCTGTTTCAGACATGAGGAATAAAAAGGGGAGAAAAGATGAGATTAAAATTTGGGGGGCATATATGGGTATGTGTGAGAAACAATAGGAAAATGTTAATGAAGAGTCTAAGATGTGGGTATGTGGATGTTCAGTGACTTTTTTTTTCGCAAAGCTGCGTGTGTTTGAAAATTTTCAAAATAAGGGGCGCTTCAGTGGCTCAGTCGGTTGAGTCCAACTCTTGATTTTGGCTCAGGTCACGATCTCACGGTTATGAGAACGAGCCGCATGGAGCTTGCTTAAGATTCTCTCTCCTTCTCCCTCTGCCTTCCCCCCCTCCACCCCATGTGCACTTTTGAAAGGAAAGAAAGAAAGAAAGAAGAAAGAAAAAGAAAGAAAGAAAGAAAGAAAGAAAGAAAGAAAGAAAAAGAAAGAAAGAAAGAAAGAGAGGAAAGGAAATTTTCAAACTAAAATGTTGGGGCAGGGACTACTCTTTGGGAAAACCCCAGGTATCAGACCTCAGAGCAAGTAGAACAGGAAAAGCCTTCTTTAAATCAATGTTTCCCAATTTATTGCTGGAACCCAATTTAGAAAATGGGTTTTCTGTTGAGATCAGGCCCAAGTAAATGTTCCTTCAATCTGGGCTGGCTACAACCACACAGTGTGTCCCCTCCCAGCTCCTGCTAAGTCCCGGGACCCAGTCAGCACTTCCCTGAGCTTTTCTGTTCCCAAACTCTCAAGCCCCTGGTCCCTGATGTCCCACCTGGCCAGCCCCTCCAGCCTTCTCCCCTGCAGAAGGTTCCCTGGGAGGCAGTTCTGTCCACCCCTCCCAGTGGCTATGCAGCCTTCCCAGGCAGAGGTTGAGGTGTGGGACCTAAGAGGTAAGCTGTGTTGACAGGAAGGAAAGACATTTGAAAAAGGGGGCTGTAGATAAGTCCCACTCCAGGGGCGCCTGGGTGGCTCAGTTTGTTAAGCATCTGCCTTTTTTTTTTTTTTTTTAAGATTTATTTATTTATTTTGAGAGACTGAGAATGAGAGAGAGAGAGAGTGCACATGAGAGGGGGGAGGGTCAGAGGGAGAAGCAGACTCCCTGCCAAGCAGGGAGCCCGATGCAGGACTCGATCCCGGGACTCCAGGATCATGACCTGAGCCGAAGGCAGTCGCTTAACCGACTGAGCCACTCAGGAGCCCAAGCATCTGCCTTTGGCTCAGGTCATAATCCCGGCGTCCTGGGATCGAGCCCCGCATTGGGTTCCCTGCTCAGCAGGAGCCCGCTTCTCCCTGTCCTCCCTGCTTGGGCTCTCTGTTACGATCTCTGTCTGTCTCTCTCTTTCTCAAATAAATAAAATCTTAAAAAAAAAGAAAAGAAAAGAGAAGTCCCATTCCCACAGGAACACAGACTGGAGGAGGTCAGGGCAGAAGAACCTCATCCTTACGAGAGCAGGCCCAACCACAGAGGAGTGGAGAAATATATGGTAGACACATCCTTTCCATGGAAATTACATAGGCATTAAAAACCATATTTATAAGGAGTTTTTTCTTAAAAAATAATTAACTTATATTCTGGAGTGACACAAAACCAGACTTAAAAACTGAACATGAAACAGGATCTCAACTTAGTAAAAACGCCAAAGGAAAAACCTGAAGGAAATGCACTAACGTAGTAGCAGCAGTGCTAGGGTTTTTGTGATGGATCGTGGGTTATTTAAATTTTTTTTTTGCATTGTTCTGTTTTCCAAATTTCAATAAGTGCATATATAATAACTTCTATCAGAAATAATGAATAACTTTTTTACAAGGGGAAGTACTCAGTTACAGTAGTAAGTTCCGCTTGAAGCAAATTTCAGGGGCTAAGTAGGGTTCCTTCTGCGGGTGTCTGAGTACTAATCTCCACTTATAGCTTGTTTGAGGGTGGGCCTTGTCAATCAGGGACTAAGGCAGCCTGAGTTGGCCGGGCCCTCTGCTGTCAGGCAGGAGGCGAGCCTCCCAGGACTGGAAATGTGGGGCTGGCGGGGTCCATTCCCCCAAGTGGGGCAGCCAGTTGGCTTCTGGGTCAAGTGGGAAGGGTCACCCTTTCTAGGCCAGTAAAAGGGGGGGTCAGACTGAAAGGCAGAAATGGAAACAAGCTCCTTAAACAAGGAGTTCTCTGGGTGTTATCAAGAAAGAGCTCCAGATACTACTCGGCCATCAAAAAGAATAAAACCTTGCCACTTGCAACGACGTGGATGGAACGAGAGGGCATTATGCTACGCGAAATAAGTCAGAGAAAGACAAATACTATATGATTTCACTCATGTAGAATTTAAGAAACAAAACAGATGAACATAGGGGAAGGGAAGGAAAAATAAAATAAGATGAAAATTGAGAGCGAGGCAAACTATAAGAGACAAACTCTAGGAAACGAACTGAGGGTCGCTGGAGAGGAGGTGGGGGGGTAGGGGTAACTGGGTGATGGGCATTAAGGAGGGCACTTCATGTAATGAGCACTGGGTATTATATGCAACTGATGAACCACTAATTTCTACATATGAAACTAATTTTAAAAATTTTAAAAAGAAAGAGCTCTAGAAAGCTCCATGCCAGGACCTCCCCCGAGGAGAACAGTCACACTATAGCCATGACCTAAACTCATACTCTTGACTTTTTTTTAAACCATTATTTTAAATTTTCCAAAATAACATATTATTTTTGTAGAAAAGCTGCAAATAGGGAAAACACAAAGAAAAAAAATCACACATACATCATTACCCAAATATAACTACCACTATTATGGGTATACACACTTCCAGTCTTTTTTACTCAAAATCAGGATTATACTGTAATATTTTATAACCTCTCCCCATCTTTTATTTAGAAAAATTTCAAACCTACAGAAAAGTTGCAAGTAGTACAATGAACCTGCACCTATAATTCACCACCAGTGAACATTTTGTCTGTCTCTCTTTCTATGAATATTTTCCTGGGTTTCACTTCACATTTTCTCTTTCTCTCTCTAAATGTTTTCCTGGCCTGCTTGAAAGTAAGTTGTAGACTTCATGATGCTTCACCCTTAAATTCTTCAGCCACATGTCCTCAGAACAAGTCAAGCCATCAAGGCTTAAAGTAAGAACCCTCCGTGGGAGGAACAGCTGAACACTCTTGGTAAATCTTCAGTCAGGAGAAATGTCCACTGACCCCTTCTTTGCTGTCCTGCCCCAAGACCCACAGACCATCCCCCCCTCTCCTGAGGAATGGCCTTGCTTCCCTCCCAGGGATGCTGAAAGCCACCAGGCAGCCCACCAAGCCCAGGAAGGAACAGAGTGCAGCAGGTAAATGCTGTCATGGGGGCCGTGGCGCCACCTGACGGTGGTGTTTAGAATTTCCGGGGCACAAACTGGGATTAACCCAGCATCATTCTTGGACCTACCTGTGCCCAGCACTTAACACGTATTATCTCTCGAATACCTACAAAACGTGAGGGTCAGGCATCATCGACGAGTCCACAGCACAGCGTGGTGCACCGTGGGTGTTGGACAAATCTTTTTTGAATTAACGAGGAAACTGAGGCTCTTGGAGGTTAAGGGACTCAACAAGGTCTCAGGGTTAGTAAGTGGTGGTATCGGATTTCAGACCTGAGAATCCTGGCCGTTCCACTTCATTCCTCTGGAGGCAAGAGTAAATAGCAAAAGGCAGAGTGGTCATAAAGGGTTGTTACATGGCCAGGAGAGATCACAGAGTCGCAGGGTGGACATTACAGAAGGCCCTGGAAGGGAAGGGGCCACCGGAGTCCCCCGCTCTGTCGTGGCGAGAATCCAGGGCTCCACTGGTGACCCCATCCAGCCTAAAGTATATGGTCCAATTACGACACAAATCATCAGTAAGAATTTGCAAGACGCCAGAAATTTGTGGCGGATAGATTAGAAGAGGCACTTGCTTCTCCGGAGCGGACAGAGCACGGCTCACGATGCTTCTACAGCAGAAAGGACTTCGGACAGAGTCCCAGCCGGACTGGGTCAGTGGCAAGGGGACAGACACAGGACCTAACCGTTTGTCCAGATGAAGGATAAAGCAGAGGGGGCTTGGACCAGGGGCTGGCAAAGTTTCTATAAATGGCCCAGGTCAACGAGGCGGGACTTACGGGTCAGCTGGTGTCTGTTGGCGGTGCTCAGCTCCAGCACACAAGCAGCCGTCGGTAAACCTAACAAACGGGCCCGACTGTTGCAGTAATTCTGAGAAACGGGCACAGCCCCTTGTTGGCCAGCCCCTGTCTTTGATAATCCAAATATGAGTTTTAAAAAACCAAAGAATTGAGAAAGCAGAAAGCAAAGACAGTCTTGACAAGGAGAAAACAGCCACTGGCAGCCCTTCCTTACCAGCCTGAATTCACTGCTGAATCACCAAGCTGAACGGGAACGGGCTCCCGGGCTATGATAGGGTGGGGTCCCCCGCTGAAGGGGGAACCTAAACGCTGGACCGATCTTACCATCAAACACACGCCACTAGTCCTCCACCCAGAGATAATCCCAGCTGCAGGGATGGGAAGCAGACCCAGGACTCTACCTCTTCTGGAGGAAACTCTCACATCTTTTCTCCAAGGGCAGCACCTGGGCAAAGGCTGTGTTCTCTGTCATGTCAGTTTCAGGAATGGTGTGATTTCTTGCCATGTTTTCCAGGAGTGGGTAGGCCTCGAGATTAAAATAGAAAACAGAATTCTGGATGTCCTTGGTGTCGTCGGATTCAATTTCGTCTGGGTGGTCTCCTGAAATGAGAGAGCCGTGTGCTGTGGAGGGATGACCTTCTCTGTGGGCTGGGCGGGCCCAGGGGGGCTGCTCTCTGTTTGTAAAGGCTGGGTCACTGGGACTGAGCTGTGGGGGGCTCACTTGATCTGGAGCAGCAGGATTCCAGAGAGAAGACCTTGCCTAGCGCTTTAGCTAAGTGCCTAGTGAGGACTGAACAGCTGTGTCCTTTTGCCTTGTGGTGTGGGGTTGAAGAGCAGGGAAGAGATCGGGCGGCATCACCCTGTGCTTTGGGGCGGGGGCAGAGAGTGTCAGGGAAATAGTCAGCAGGCCACGGGGTCCCCCTCCTCTACCTCGGAGCAGGAAACACGGGTGTTGAACAGACACGGCAAACAAGGGCTTCCAGGGGACCGCCAGATGGTAGGTTCTGGGTAGAACAAAGGCACAGATGATCTGAGGCTTGGCCACATCCATGAGCTGTACAGAGCCATTCTTGCCGAAGATCAGCAACTGGGAAGCAAAGAGATGGCAATGGGGACTTCTCTGTCGCCTCCGTTTGGAATGACAGAAGCAGCTGGCCATAACGACCGCAATAGAGAGAACTGCTTTGCTTTCAGGCACCCAGGGCTGCTCAGGGAGCAGAGGAGTGTGTGTTTACTACTCTGGGGGCCCCAGCAGCAACAGGCCCTCCTCCAGGTGCTGGGTCTGATCCTCTGTGGTGCTTCCCCTTCTACCCTGGCTTCTCTTCTAGTTCACCAGCATCCCCCCTGCTGGGGAGCTGGCCCTGCACATGGTTTCGGTGCTGCCTCTGTGCACAAACCCTTTCCTCCTGTCCTCGGGGGCCCCTGCTCAATCCAATGGCCCCTCCTGGCCTGAGATCGGAGGCAGACCTCCCTCCTGCCTGGGCTCCTTCCTCCTTGTAGATGAGCATGCTAGACGTACCCCAATGTCATCGTCTTCCACCTGCCACACCGTTTCCCCTCCCCCACACTCAAATGTCCGATGCCTGTGCTTGCCCCCTCCAGCCCTTCCTGTCACGGCCCCCCAGAGCAGCCGCCCGCCCCCACCAACTTCCGTAGGCTTGCCCCAACCCTCTCCGCTCCTGGCATCCAGCGCATCATGCCTCATGGCCTCTCTTGTCTCCCAGGGCAGTTGCTCAGAGATTCGTCTGTCTTCCCAGCTGAACTGTGCACCCCAGCAGGGCAGCGACTTGCCCCTTCATCCCCACGTGGCCCAGAGCTCATCTGGTGCCTAGCACTTGACAGGCCTTCAACACATGGTTTCTGAAGGGCAAATGACCACATTTACTGACGAGGAGAGAGGGGCATGAGGAACCTACCATGCCGGGTAAGGCTAGGACCGGGGCCACTGCACAGATGGCCTCATCCAGGTGCTTTATAGGCCTGCAGGAAACAAGACACACAGACATTCATACCGGAAGTGTTCAGGCTGTGCTATCCTCTGCTGGGCATACATCCCAGACACACTCTTGTATATAAGCACCAGGAGACATGTCAGAGACTGTTCAGAGTAGCAAATACTGGGGACAATCTGATTGTCCACTGGTAGGAGCATGCCTCGTTGTGGTCTATTATATGATAGGCTGCAGTGCCGGTGGGAAAATAACCAAGCCGCGTTCCCCAACATGTGCGACTCCCATGAACAAGGTCACAAGGTATAGAAGAAAAAGCGCTGAGAAACCGGCTGGAGAATACATAGGACATGATTCCATTTACAAATTCCCCAAATATGCACAGCTAAACAATAGGTTACTTGGAGATACAGGTGGTTAATTCTTACAGGAAAGTGAAGGAATGATGAATTTTGGAAAAGGATATTATAGATTGAAAAAGAAACTGGCCATAATATTTAGCAGCAACTCCTATCAAAAGGTGGAGTCAAGGGGCGCCTGGGTGGCTCAGTCAGTTGAGCATCTGACTCTTGGTTTCCGCTCAGGTCACGGGCTCACGGGTTGTGGGATTGAGCCCCGCTGCTTCTGGCTCCTTGCTCAGTAGGGAGTCTGCTTGAAAGATTCCCTCTGTCCTGCCCCCTGCTTGCACACACGCACTCTCTCTCTCAATATAAATAAATAAATCTTTAAAAAAATAAAATGTCTTAAAAAGAAAAGGTGGAGTCAGTTTTCCCAGTGCTTGACTGCGGGTGTGGCCACGTGACATGCTCTGTCCAGTGTGCCATGAGCAGAGGCCTGGAAAGCGTTTGTGCATTGCTCAGCCTCCATCACCCTTAGGCTTCCAGGTGATGGAGGCTGAGACAGCCCACAGGAGTGGCCACAAGGATGAAAAACAAGTGTCCTGGCCAACGGCCAGCTATGTGAGTGAGGGCACCTAGGACCGTCCAGCCCCTGGCCGAACTGCCTGCTGCCTGAGGCACACATGAGAGCCTAAGCAGAGAGACCAGTGGAGGAGCCGCCCACCTGAGCCTCACCCAAATTGCTGACCTACAAGATCAGGGGGTCCTGGGCTAAACAGTGACTGTTTTCAGCCTTAGCTGACCTGGAGATGATCTATTTTTTAAAAAGATTTTGTTTATTTATTAGAGAGACATAGTGAGAGAGAGCACGAGCAGAGGGGAGAGGGAGAAGCAGACTCCCCGCTGAGCAGGGAGCCTGACATGGGGCTCAATCCCAGGACCCTGGGATCATGACCTGAGCCAAAGGCAGACGCTTAATCGGCTGAGCCATCCAGGTGCCCCTGGAGATGATTTATTGCTTAAGCTTGTACAGGGGAGATTTTCTCTCTCTCCAGATACACACACATACACACACACACACACTATATAGTGTATATATACTGTACATCTATGCATAAACATATATGGTATATATACAGATACACCCTAAATACACACACATACGTATTATATAGATCATTTGCATGCATAAAGTATTTTACAATTTAAAAAAGAAAGAGACCCTTGAGGAAATGGATAAAAGGCTATTTTGGCAGAAATGATCCTCTTCTCGGTCATGTGGGACATGAAAGGTGTCATTTGCGCCATCATACAATTTTGTGAGACAAGTTTTACATATCTTTCCACGTATAAAAGACAGTGGGGACCTTGAGAAGCTCACAGGGAGGGTGGTGGCTACAGAGCAAGTGGACTCCTGCTGGGGAGGTGGTCAGTTTCCTATTAGTCATCTGGTTGGCAGATCATTTACCCTGTCTTGCGCTCAAGCCACCAACCTCTCAACAAGCACACTGATGGTGGGTCCTTGGGTCCCTTTGGCTGTCACCAGATAGAGAGAAGAATCTGTGCACAGCACCACACATTTCATTTGGGATTTCAAGGGACTCTCAGGGTACATGTTCTGTCCTTCGTGGACTAAGAAGTACTTCAGGAAGTGAATGCTCTGGCAGGAACATCCCTTGGGAAGAGCGATGACCCCAAGAGGGAAACCTGGAGAAACAATCGCAAAAGCAGGTCAGAAAAGTAGGTAGAGGATGATGCAGCCATGGGCGCAGGGTCTGTGACCAGCAGGTATATGAGGGATGTGAAGGCAAGATCCAGCAATGAGAACCCTCTGAGAGTGAAACCAGAAACCCCAATGCCCAGTGGGAGAGAAGAGCCCCCCTTCTGAGTATGGAGAGGTGCGGAGGACAGGGAGGACCAGCCCTGTGGAGGGGAGCGAGTCAGCACTGGGACCGAAGAAAAGAAGTTACACCCAGCCAGGTCCTGAACCACAGCTGACCGTGGCAGGTCAAGGTGCATCAGAGGGGGCAAGGGGTGGGGTGGTCTCAGAGAAGCAGAGGGAGCTGTGTGTATAGCCAAGCAATATCCACAATGTATCAATGTCCAGAAAAATGAAAGCAAGCTATTGGGCAAGTGAATGTGCAATTAGGAACATTCTTCTGCTCTTGACGTATCTTTAGCTATTGTTAAGAATGCTGTGGGTTCAGTAACTCAAGTTCAAGAGGGCCTATAGCCATGTTTATCTTTCCAGAATGTGGGCAGAGTGCCTGCTATCGGAAACCACCAAGGAATTCTTCAGATGGAAATAGGGGCACCTGGGTGGCTCAGTCGGTTAAGTGTCCGACTCTTGGTTTCGGCTCAGGTCATGATCTCATAGGTGTTGGGATAGAGCCACGTGTTGGGCCCTGTGCTCGGTGGGGAGTCTGTTTGAGGTTCTCTCTCTCTCCATCTCCCTCTGTACCTCCCCCCCGCCCCATAAGTAAATAACTAACTAACTAAATAAATAAATAAATAAAGACACTCCTTTAGATCCTGATCAATTTAGGGCAACTAGACACCACTGATTTTCTCCACCTGCAGAGCTGGACCCAAGACCCTGGGGCCCTGGGCCTCTAGCAAGGTGCCACCCACCCAGAACAACTGCTGGTCTTGTATTGGCCACCTTAGAGGTCTCTTAGCTTCCATACCAGTGAGCTTCTCACTGACCGGGGTGGGGGTAGAATAGCAGGAAAGCAGACTTGCTTATTTTGAGAGCTTGAGGGATAGGAGGGGGCAGGGCTGAGGCTGCCATGATCCCACATCCTGGGCTGGAAGACACTTCCTCACCAGAGTGTGATAATGAGGTAATGGACAGACTTCCAGGCCCTGGTCCGGTGCCGGGTACGGAGCAAGCACTCAATAAATCCACAGGGAATGGGAATTGTCAGCACATATTAAGTTCAATAAATGGACAGTGAATAAGTGGATGAGGGGAAGCCAGGACCAGCTCCCCAAGTTGACTTAAGAACACAGAGTAACTAACAGAAGGCCCAGAGCCTACAGGAATTCCAGAGTTCCTGACTCTCATTATCCAGAGACCCACCTAGGTGTTCGGCAGAGATGGGGGGCTCACCTTCGGCCAGGTCCCACAGCGTGAGCACACCATCCTCACAGGCCAGCACTAGGAAGGTGCAGGTGCAGCTGAGCTGGGAGACCACAATGGGTGCAGCACAGGGCCAGACGCCCTCCGGGTCTAGTGGGGAGGACACCACGTGCTAGGCTGACCCCCCAACCCTGCACCCACCCATCACCTCCACCTGCACAGCCCGAGACCCTGACTAGTCTGCCTGTCTGGGATGTGGGCAGGAGCCGCTGTCTGGGCTCACCACCTCTCTGGCCTCTCAGCAATGCTGCCTCCTCCCTCAGGGTAAAAGAAGGGGTCATACTACTATTCCACTGCAGCAAACACTGAATGAGTGCTTACGAGGTGCTGAGCACTGTGGTAAGCGCTTTACATGCCTCCTTTCAGTTAATTCTCACAAGGGTCCCATGAGGTGAGTCCTATTAGTACCCCTATTTCACAGATGAGGAAACTGAGGCAGAGATGTAAGCGACCTGCCCAAGGTCCCAGCCAATCAGTACAGAGGTTGAGATTGGAAGCCACGCTGCCTGGGAGAGCTGGAAGGAGAGAGATTCTTCCTTTGTCCATTTTTACATTTTACTATACTTGTAAAGTGTAATTCTGAAGTATAAGTGTACAGCTCAAGGAATTACCACAAAGTGAACTTGCTTACGTAACTGCTTCCATGAGTTTGTATAAAGCAAACAACCGCCATATTTCCAAAGTGCCTTCAGTCTCAAAGAGCTTTCACATCCAGAGACCCTCTGGATTTTGCTATGCATAACAAGTGCGAGCAGTGGGCAGGGATGGTGTCACGAATTAGTTCTGTGTTTCAGATGAGAAAATGGGACTGGGGCTCTCAGTGACTGGCCTGACAGCACACAGCTTGCAGACCGTTGGGCTGGGGCTGGACTGGGCCTCTGATGCCAGGCCTCTGTTTACTTGAGCTGCCAAAGGAGCCCTAGGGACCTGACTGGGCTTTGTCCCTATTGACCTGTTCTCTTTAAGAAACGGGACCGTTCAGAGACAGAGCCTTGCGGTCACTGACACCCCAGCCACTGAGCCACCTGCTTCAGTCTGCACAGCTCTCGTCCCCTAAAGTGACACATCAGTCACATGCCCTCAACTAAGCTGGAGAAGGACACATTCTGAGAGCCCCAAGCTTAGGCAACTGCCATCTCAAAGTACCGACTTTATCCTTCAGAGTTCGGTGAAGCGAATAGAAGAAGAAGTTGTGACTTCCAGCCCAGTGTATGCCAAGGACACAGGCTACCCCTGGGAAAGAAGAGAGAAAGAAGCATCACATAAGGAATCTGGGTACCCTCTGGTTTGTACGGAAAGTGTTTGCCCAAGAGGAAGTCGGTTTGCAATCAAAAGTGGTCTGTTCTCGGGGGTGCCTGGGTGGCTCAGTCGGTTGAGCGTCTGCCTTGGCTCAGGTCATGATCCCAGGGTCCTGGGATCGAGCCCCACATGGGGCTCCCTGCTCAGCAGGAAGCCTGCTTCTCCCTCTCCCACTCCCCCTGCTTGTGTTCCCTCTCTCGCTGTATCTCTCTCTGTCAAATAAATAAATAAAATCTTTAAAAAAAAAAAAGTGGTCTGTTCTAATGGGCAACAGGCAACAGAAGGACGTGCCTCCTGGGTGGGGGGGGGCACCCCTGGGAGGGCTGTTCCTAGGGCCGAGTCACCTTCCCAGGTGGGGAGGACAGTCACACTGCCCCTTGGCTGCTTTCACATCTTCTGGATAATTCACGTCCTCTTGGCCATCGGTGTTTTAATATTTTTTTATTTTATTATTTTATTATTTTTTATTTTATTTTTTAAGATTTCTATTTATTTATCAGAGAGAGAGAGACAGAGACAGGCAGAGGGAGAAGCAGGCTCCTTGGTGGGACTTGATCCCAGGACCCTGGGATCATGACCTGAGCCGAAGGCAGACGCTTAACTGACTGAGCCACCCAGGCGTCCCTTGGCCGTCGGTGTTTTAAATAACCTTTTCTCCAAAATGAATTTGAGTCCAGAAGCAGCCCGGTGGGCTATGTGCTCACACCCTCCTCTGTGGCAGGTCACTCCCCAAAGACCATGCCAGCCTCCGTCATCAGGGAATCTGGGTGCCATACATCCAACCAGAAACAGTTACGCTCCAGCTGTGAAGCTGGCGACCCACTTTCCGCCTCATTCCCTCCCACACACAGGGTCTGCTGAGGCATTTCCTCGAGTGGATCACTGCCAAGGATAACTCCCTGCTTCGTGTTCATTTACCTGAGGGGCCCTTGACTTCCACTGGCATTGTAATTATTCTGCTGGGAAGGAGGAAATGGAACGTGGCCATGCTGGGGAAAAAAAGACACACCAGTCAGAGCCCTGGCAGACTCCTTGGCCAGACGAGATGCTGGCAGAGTCTTGGTACTAAAACCAGACATGGGCGTTTAGGATGGACCTTCCTGGGGGTACAGGGCCATGAGCTCAATCACATTCTGTGTGCTGGTCCTGGTGGCTGCAGACCTTGGAAGTTGGTGAGGGCAGGGCAGGCTGAGCTGCAGGAGTCACTCCCAGGCTGGAAACAGCACCCACCACCGAGCAGAACTTTCTCTGTCCTAGGGGAAGATCCCTTAGTAACCAGACTTGGCTCACTTATGCTGGGGGCAATCCAACCAGGGGGGTGCTAATAAATTTGCTCTTAAGAAAAAAAGCAAACCAATTTCCTGATTTATAGAGTTTGCTTTTACAAGAGCTTCTTATGGTAGAAAGGCTCCCACTACAGACACTGCGGGCAGTTTAACAACTAGCCTGCAAGACTCCTAACTACCCTGCTAGGCAGTGTACCCCTGAACCTCGCTGGGTCCCGGTTCGGGTCTCTGGTGGCTGCTACGAGGGTGCAACCCTAGGAGTCTGTGTCCTGAAGTGAGAAAATTCGAGGTGCGCTTGACAGCAAGATGTGAGGCCTCCCTTCCCACCTGAAGCAAGAACATTCCTGAGGTCCAGCATAGCTGTAGGGAGAGCTAGTTCCTAAAACCAGCTCCACCATGTTCAAAGACTTGGGCTCAGTTTCTACAATCACAGCAGGGGGATCTTGAGCCCTACCTGCTGCCGGAGGTTACAAAGGAAGTATTTTAGTAATTATATGTTAACATATTACATTTAGAAAGACTGGATGGAAATTGAGGAAATCTGAAGAGTGTGACTTTTATTTCTCTCTTTAGGGTCTTCTGTGTTGTCTAGATAATCAGGAAAACAAGTTTTTAAGACATGATGTGCATAAAATTATAAAATCAACTCCTCATCTGCATACATGTCTATCCCCTCTTTGAAATCCGTGTGATCAGACTCTGTTCTAATGTATTCGAACAATCTCCACACACCTTTTCAAAAGATCTGCTGAAATTCTCGGAAAAATCCCCCAAACCAGGAGGAGCTTTTAGACTTCGGATGAATTTGAGGGCTTGTGTCGATTGCTGTGTGTGCCCCCACAGCTCGCGGGGATCGGGGTACCCCTGCGGCCTCTGCCCGCTCACCTGGGTGGCTCCTCTTCCCATTCCTTGTCCAGGTACTTCTGGTGGGAGGCGAGGAAGATGGCCGCCAGCTGCTCCCACTGACTGTCTTTGATGAAGTGGTTCTGCCCGGAGCCCAGCCCGTAGTAGTCCTCTACCTTTGCGAACACTTCCAGGGGGCTTTTAAATGTGGTACCTCGGTTGAAAAGATTCCAGAATTGGTCAAACCATGGGACTTCCCCCTTCCTGATTTTCTCTCCTTCCTCCGTGCTTCCGGGTTTCCTGTGGAATCCCTCATCCTCAGAAATCCATCTGGGAGCCCAGGGTTCGGCCTTCTCCCTGCCTCTTTCCGACCCTGGCTGCTCAGGGAGCGCAGGCAGCTGCCGTCCCTCCTCCTGCTCCTACAGCCCCATCCCACCATCACTTCCTGTTTCCGATTTACCGGATCCGCAGAGGAGGCCAAGGAAATGTTCAGGAGGTCACTAGAGGCCTCAGACCACCGTTGCTGTCCTCCCAGCTCAGCAAGGCCCCAAACCTGCCAGTTATGGTCACTACTGAGCCGCTGCTGAAGGCCCACCTAAGCCGACAGTCCTGCCCCCTACCTGTGTTCACATCCACCCAACTACCGTCCTTCAAAAACCTCCTCTCCGCCACTTTTCTTACCACTCCACTTCCCCTGAAACCTTTCATTTCCTTCTTTTTCAACTGTTCCTAAATCCACAGTAAAACTGGGCGATTGGTTTTTCTGGGTGCCCGCCCCAGCTTTCAGAACTCTGCTCTCTTTGGAGGGTGCCCAGGAGGCCACGCAGTGCCCCAGGTCCCCTTCTCCAGAGGCAACCAGAGACGACTGGTTTCTGGAATTCGCTGCTACAAGGAGACCCCTTCTGTTTAAACAGATGGTAACATATGATACACTGGTAGTTCCCGGAAGTGTGCTCCCAGATCAGCAGGGATCCCGCAGGCTCAACCGGAACTTGTTAGAAATACAGATTCTTGGGCTCCACCCCAGGATGAAACGGAAACTCTGTGGGTGGGGCCCAGCAATTTGGGTTCTAACAAGTTCTCCAGGCGAGTCTGATCCCGCTGTTTGAGAATTACTCTTAGACACTAGCACTTTTGCATTTTTCACTCACAGTAGCTTGGAGAGCTCTTCATATTAGTACTATAGAGCTTCCTCATTGTTGCTTGTTTTCATTCACTAAGCATTTTTATTGTGAAATATAACACATTCAGCAAAGAGCATAAAAAATATATATCTTAATAAATTATTACAAGGCAAACATCTGTCTCTACTCAGGTCCAGAGACAAGACATCAGCTGCTCCCTAGAAGCTCTGCAAAGGCCTGTCTCGAGTCACAACCTCCTGGGAAGAGCAGCAACCACTCTCTTGGCTTCCATGTAAGCACCACGTTACATTTATTTTACTTCTGCTCTCTAAATGTGCATCTAAACGCGATAGCTTTGTTTCGCCTGATTTTGAACTGTATACACAAATGGAATTGTGTACAGTGTTAACTCTATGTCTGCCCTCTTTGGCTTAGTACTCTTCCTTGAGATTTGGCCATTTTGTTGTGGAGAGCTGTAGTTTATTCCTTTTTATCGATAGTATTCCATCAAGTGAATGAATATATGACTGTTTCTTTATCTGTCCTATCGTTGATGGACATTTCGGTTGTTCCATGTTGGGAGCTACTGAAAAATCACGCCACTGTTACCATTCTTGTACATGTCTGTAAATGCCTGGTGTGCATTTACTTGTAAACCTATCAGGTGTATACCTAGAAGGAGGGGGACTGTTTCATCCTGGTTTGCTCAGAAGTTCCCTAGTGTTAGCACTGAAAGCTGCACATCCCAGGAAACCCCTCAGCCCCAGGCAAGCTGGAACGGTTGGTCATACTGCCTAGGAGTGTAAGCGCTGGGTCTCAGGGTATAAATTATCGTCAACGTTACTAGATCATACCAAACTGTTTTCCAGAGTGATTGTACTGATTTTCACCGGTCCAGTGTATGAGAGTGTATGGTTAGTCCACATCCTCACCAACTTGGTACCGTCAGCCTCTTTCTATTGTTGCCATTCTGGTGGGTGTGGAGTGGTAGCTCATTATGGTCTTAATTTGCATTTCCCTGATAACTAAGGATGTGGAGTACATATGTTCATATGTTTATTGGCCATTTGAATAATATCTTGCCTGTTTTATACTAGATTATCTCTTTTCCTTAATAAGTTCTAGGAATTCTGTATATACTCTTGATATGGACTATTCATATGTTTTACGTGTTTTGCAAATCTTCTCCCACTATGTGGCTTGCTCTTTCATGCTTTTAATGATGTCTTAGGGTAACTAGAAGTCCTTAATTTTAGTAGCCACATTTATCAAATTTTTCTTTTATTATAAGTACGTTTTGTGTTTGTTTTGTGTGTTTTGTTTAAAAAGTCTTTCCCTACCCAGAAGTCATAAAGATATTGTCTTATATTAATTTTTAAAAGCTTTATTGTTGGGGCGGCTGAGGGCTCAGTCAGTTAAGTGTCTATCTTCGGCTCAGGTCATGATCTCAGGGTCCTGGGATCAAATCCTGCATCAGGCTCCCTGCTTGGCGGCAGGGCAGTCCGCTTCTCCCTCTCCCTCTGCCCCTCCCCCCACTCGTGCTCGCTCACACGTTCTCTCTCTCTCAAATAAATAAAGTCTTTTTAAAAATTTCAAAAGCTTTATTGTTTCCTCTTTCCTATTTACTTCCATGGTTCAACTGGAATTTATTTTTGTGTATGGCACGAGGCAGGAGTCAAGTCTCACTTTTGTTTCCATATGGACAAGCAGTACCATTTACTGAAATGACCATCCTTTCTCCACTGCTCTGGAGTGTCACCCCTCAGGTATCAAGTGGTCACTAATGCCTGGGTCTGTTCTGGCCTCTATATTTCATTCATCTATTTTTCTATCTTGTCTTAATCACTGTATCAGCTTTATAATAAATCTTGATGGAGCATCATCATGTTCTTTTTATGAGAGTGAATTGGCTCTTCTTGTCCTTTAGAATTTCCTTCTTTGTTTTTTTTTTAATATTTTATTTATTTATTCATAAGAGACAGAGGAGGCAGAGGGAGAAGCAGGCTCCCCGCTGAGCAGGGAGCCCGATGTGGGACTCGATCCCAGGATCCTGGGATCATGACCTGAGCCGAAGGCAGACGCTTAACCATCTGAGCCACCCAGGCACCCACCTTCTTTGTTTTTAATGGTTGCAAAATATTCCTTTGGATGGGTGTATCAGATTTTATTTAACTAGTTTTCTGCCTCTATAAATACTGCTGCAGTGAACATTCTAAGAGATCTTTGATGTCTTGTGCAGGTATTGAAAGGATAGACTGTCCTCTGCCTACAGTGGACTTCTCCTCTGCTCCTCATGACCTACCCCCACTTATCTTTCAAAACCTTCCCAAATGTCCCATCCTTTGATAAAGACTTTGCCTCTCTGTGGGCAGAGTTAGTCACTGTTTCCTCTATGTTTTCATGGTCCTAGATGTTCCCCATTGCTGCACTTATCATATCCTACAATGCTGGTTTCCTCTTACTCTTCCTTGGTAGAACTGCAGCTTTTAGAGCACAAGATGTGTCTTACTCATCTGTGTGCTTGGTGCATTATTGGCACTCAGCAAATACTGATGAATGAACTAACACAAGAATATAGAAATGAATAAACTCTAGCTAGAAGTCTGTCTTTCCTGATTTCCCAGTTCTGTTAGTTAGCTGTATCCTTGTAACATTTATATTTTTTTGTCTTTAGATCCCAGAGCTAATGACTTAAAAAATTTTTCCTTTCAGAATTATACTTGTAATCTAGATATTGCTGCTAATAAATAGAAAAGATGGGAAATGTGGAGAGAGGCAAAGAAAGAAAAAACAAATTAATGGCAGAAGGAAAGAGAGTGTTAGTTGAATTATACTAACCTGTAACTGGTTTGGGTGGTTTGATCTTCATTATGTGAACTGGAAGACTCAGCTTAATGTCTCCTCTAAAACAAACGTTCATATCCTATGTTAAGGAAAAGGCACAGCTAATAAGCCAACAAAGGAGATATAACAGAATCATTAAAAACATCCAAAAGAAGACAGAAAAAGAGGGGAAAGCATGAAAAACGGGTGGAACAAATAGAAAGTAAATAGCAAAGAGATAGTTTTAAATCCAAACACATCAACAATCACATTAAATATAAATGGCCTAACTACCCCAATTAAAAGGTAATTGTATAAAAATTGTAAAAGAAAGTAAGACCCAACTACATGCTGTCAAAAAGAAATTCATTTTAAATACAAAGACAACAACATATTTAAAGTATAGGAAAAGATACATCTTGTAAAACTAATCAAAAGAAAGCTGGGGTGACTATATTAGTATCTGACATAATAGATTTCAGAGCAAAGAATATTACCAGGGATCAAAGATTCACTGAATAATGATAAAATGGTCAATTCATCAAGGAGACATAACATTCCAAATGTTTACGCACCTAATAACAGAGCTTCAAAGTACGTGAAGCAAAGACTCATAGAAGTGAAAGCAGAAATAGATAAATCTGTAATCTTAGAGCTCTGAACACTCTCCCAATAACTGATAGAATAGACAGAAAATCAGAATGATTTTCTGTATAGTAAGGATATAGAAGGAAAAGCAGTAAAGATATAGGAGACTTACATAACTTGACCAACAACAGCTGAATACACATTCTTTTCAAGTGCACATAGAACAGCTACCAAGATAAACCATATCCTGGGCACAATACAAATCTTAATAAATGTAAAAGGTTTCAAATTCTATGAAGCATGTTCTCCAATCACAATGGGATTAAATTAGAAATCACAAAAATAAAGATATCTGGAACATCTCCAGTATTTAGACCCTAAATAATATGCTTCTAAATAATTCATTGGTCAAAAAATAAATCAAAAAGCAAATTAGGAAGTATTTTTTTCTTAAAATAACATCAAAATTTAAAGGAAGCAGCTAAAACAGTACTTAGCTGTCGTTTATAGCACTAAATGCCCATATCAGAAAAGAAGATCTCAAATCAATGACCTAGCTTTCTACCTTGAGAAACTAGAAGACAAGAAAAAAAACCTGAAGTAAGCAGATGAAAAAAAATAATAAAAATCAAATTGGAAACTGGTGAGATAGAAAACAGAAAAAATGGAGACAAAGAAATGAAACCAAAAGCTGGTTCTTTGATGAGATTAATAAAATTGACAAACCTCTAGCCAAGCTGATTAAGAAAAAAAGAGAGAAAACACAAATTACCAATATCAGAAATGGGGGCACTTGGGTGGCTCTGTCAGTTGAGTGTCCCACTCTTGATTTTGGCTCAGGTCATGATCTCAGGGTTGTGTGATAAAGTCCCCCATCAGACTCTACAATCAGTGGGGAATCTGCTTGGGGTTCTCTCTCCCTCTCTCTCTGCCCCTTCCCCCGCCACAGCTCTCTCTCTCTCTCTCAAATCAATCAATCAACAAACAAACCAATATCAGGAATGAAGAAGATGACATCAAAACAGATTTTGCAGGGGTGCTTGGGTGGCTTAGTCTGGATTCAGCTCAGGTCATGATCTTGGAGTCATGGGATCAAGACCCACCTCAGTCTCTGCATTCATCATGGAGTCTGCTTGAGTTTCTTTCCCTCTGCCCCTCCCCCTGCTCACTCCCTGCTTCTCTAAAATAAATAAGTAAATAATCTTTTTTAAAAAACAGATTTTACAGATAATGAAAGGATAACAAGGGATTACAAACTACTTTAAGCCAATACATTTGACAACTTACATAATATGGACAAATTCCTTAAAAGACACGAAATACAAAAGTTTGCTTAAGAAGAAAGAGATAACCCTTTGTCACTCAAGACATCGAATTTGTAGTTCCACAAAGAAAACTCCACAGCTAGATGGCTTTATTGGTTAATTCTATCAAACATTTTAGGAAGAAATTATACCAATTCTATACAAACTCTTCCAGAAAATAGAATGGGAATACTCCAACTTATTAAACAAGGCCAGCATCACCCTGATACCACAACCAAAGATGTTACAAGAAAATAAAACCGGGGTGCCTGGCTGGATCAGTCAATGGAACATGTGACTCTTGATCTCGGGTTTGAGTTCAAACCCCACGTTGGGTTTAGAGATTACTTAAAAATAAAATCTTAAGAAAAGAAAAGAAAACGAAACATATCCTTCAGGAACATAGATGTGAAATTTATTAAGAAAATATTGTCAAGTTAAAATTGGTAAGTTGGATCTATGAACAGTTTCTTTAAAAAATAAAAAGAAGGCACACATAAATAACAGTAAGAACAAGAAAAGGGACTAACTTAAGAGACAGGTTTTTATTTTTATACTGTAGGAGAAACATATTTACATAGGTATATATATATTTATATATACCTATATATCTACACTAATAAATGAATTGTGACTGAAATAGGCTCAAAAATATTTTTAATTTTGAAATTTAAAAGATAATATAGGACTTTTTTAGACCTAGAGGGTAAAAAAGGAAATATCCAGCCTTCTTTACAAGGCTAGCATAACACTAACACCAAACGCTGATAAGAAAACCACAAAGAAAAAAAGCTCTACAAGCCAATCTCATGTTTGAACATGGATACTATCCATGAACACCAAACTATCATTTTGGTCTGCTAATATTTTATTTAGGACTTTCATATTAGCAAAGCAAGCTGACAGTGTAATTAAATGAATTATTACCAAGTATGGATTACCCAAGAATGGAAGGAAGAATGTTTCAACATTAGAAAATCTATTAATGCAATCCACTACATTAGCAGATTAAAGGAGAAAAACTCCTCTCAAAAGATGAGGAGGAAGTATTTGCCAAAGATCAGTATCTATTCCTAATTAAAAACAACAACAACAACAACAACAACACATGCTTAGCAAACAAAGGCTAAAGGGACACATGCTTAACTGATAAAGGATATTTATGTCAAACACCTATAGTAAGCTTCACGCACAATGGTGAAACACTTGGAGTGTCCCAGTTAGGTCCTGGATAGTGTACTATCACCACAACTATTCAGAATTTTACTAGAAATCCTAGAAAATAGAACAAGCAAGAACAATAAATAAGTAGGAGGAATAAATACTTGAAGGAGGAAAAGTTGTCAGCATTTACAGTTATGATTGTCTAGCTAGAAAATCCAACAGTGTCAGCTGACAAACCATTAGAACTTCAGAAAAGAGGTCAAGAGTCCTGAGACTCAGGTAAAGGAAGTGAGGCACCCAGGTATGAAATTTAAGGAGGCACTCACTCTTAGGTGCTCACCCTGTGCTTGCGTGACCCTGACAGTATCTACGTTTTGTTGACCTCACCCAAATACAAGATCGACATACAAAAATCAATAACTTCCCTATGCACTAGTGCAGTGGACATTTGTCATCCTTTTGGCTATCCAGCCCTCAACACGCTTCCTACTTTGAGGGGGCTCCCCTAATTGTGTGAGTCTGGAAGAATCAGCCTCCCTCTAAGGAACTGAAGGAGCCAGATTCTTCTTTCTGTCCCTTGGAGTGTTGGGCGTTGACATATGACCTACACTCAACCAGCTGTGTGTTCCTGCCTAAAACTGTGACTCTTGAGGAAGTGACATGGAGATCTAGAAACAGTAGAGAAATTATTTACAGCGGAGGTGGCCATGTCAAGAGCCCAGTGACAGAGCCATCATGGAAAGCCCAGCATCAGCTTTGGTGGCTGTGTCTCTTGGGGGTGGTGATGTTCAGGAGCGGTGGTAGTGTGGAGTCCTGGCTACAACGTTTTCACTGCCTACCCTCCCTTGGTTCCTTCCAATTTCCTGAAACTTGATATCCTTCCAATTTCTTTGCTGCAACTAAGGACCTGATGAATACTGATACAGCCACGGACTAGCAATAACTATCTGGAAAATATAGTTGGTAATGGGAACATTTAACATTTAATACCTCTCCTTCCTGAAACCCCATTAAAATGACAGAAAGGTGCTTTTTCAAAAGGGAATAAACTCATAAGGAATAAGAGAATAAAAAGACAAAGCAAGAAAATTTTGAAGTTGGAAAGCAGGTGGCTAAATGATTTAGCAGACCCAAGAAAATCAGATCTGAACCAGTAGGGGAGAAAGCCTGGGAGCCATCTGATTCATACCACAAACACCCTAAGACTCAAGAAAATGTCAGCTCCAGGTGTCTCGAGTGGAAATGCCAGTGGGGCCAGCAACAGGATTGGCTGAAAATCTCTTTAAGAAGCATTTAAACTCTTAGACTCCCTAACTCCACACAGCCAACAGAATGAAGTTAAAATTGACATACTGAACATAGAAGTCACCCCACCCCACCCCCAAGGTGTCTTCCCCACAAGCCTCTGCAACTCAGGTGAGAGTAGCAATTAAATAGGCACCCAGCACCTGCTTAGATCAGGGGCCCCGCCCACATCCTTCCCCCGGGAGCTACACCCAGTGTGTAGGCATCATGCACCATAGCTTTTTACTCTGTCTGTGAGCATCTGTGAGCATTCGTACTTCATGTCAATTTATTTTATACATACATTAGCAATATGTGTTCTAAGGTATCAGAAAAGCCTAAGAGAGGTTATTTTGGGAGTCTGGGAATACTCAAAATTTTTTCCATATAAATTCATGCTAATTCCTCCTTCACTTTACACTTTTGGCTTAGGAAAGGTTTCATAGGAACGCTCTCCTTTCAGATAGCAGGAGAAACCTGTGCTGTCCAAGACACTGACATGAGTGTTTCCCAACACTAAAGCCCAGTTGGGGCACTCTTTAGCAAAACCACAGTCAGCCAGCCCCACCCATGCCCAAAGGACTAGCTTCCTGTCAGTTCCCCACTGACTCCTACTCTTATGAGTAGAGAGCCAAGTACCACCAGACAAGTGAGGAGAGCATCTCTTCAGAAAGCCAGAGACCAAAACAAATAGGAAGAAAAAAGCAACTTGGGGAGAATAGACCATCCATGGAGAAGAAACACCAACAATTATCATAAATGTTTTTAGGGAAGGCATAGTATTCATTAAATAAACAAACAATCAGAACAAAAAGGGAGGCTCTTGTAAATGAAAGTATGATAGCAAAAATGAAAAATTCAGTGAGAGAGTGGAGAGACTGAGCCAATGAGCTTTCCCCAAAGGTCAACAACAACAAAAGTATGGAAAACAGAACAGAAAATAAGCAGGTGGCATTGATGAGATTAGAACCCCGGCAGTTTTGCTCCAAAGTTCATTAAGGTCCTGGTGTAGGCAGAATGAATATTGTAATGGGACAGGATAAAAAGCATAGACAAATATATAGGAATGATAAAAGATCACATTTCAAAACAAATGGGAAAAGATGAATTACTCAAGGATATTTGTGTGATGATTGGCTATTTGAAAAAAATAGATAAAAGTTGACCCCCTTCTCACTCCATTCACAAAAGGTACTCCCCTATGAATTAGAGTGAAATGTCAAAAACAAAACTCTGAAATTATTAGAAGAAACCACAGGAGAACTTATTTATAACCTGGAGGTGGGGAAAGCCTTCTTCAGTGCAATGAGTATTAAAAAAAAAAAAAAAAAAGATAGAAAATTCTGACTGTATCCAAACCTAAAACTTCTTTTTTTCTCCCCTCCCTTTTTCTTTTGAGAGAGTGTGTGCATGCACACGCAGTGGGGAGGAACAAAAGGAGGGGGAGAGAGAGAGCCCTAAGCGAGGCTCAATCTCACGATCCTGAGATCATGACCTGAGCCAAATCGAGTTGGACACCCAACTGACTGAGCTATCCGGGCGCCCCAGACCTAAAACTTCTTTACAATAGAAGAGCACATGAACAAAGGAAAAAGGGAAACAACGAATTGGAAGCAAATATATAACAAGACAACGATACAGGCAGGCAATTCAAAGAAAACCTCAGTGGCCAATAAAAAATATGAAAGAGATCAGTGAAAATTACACGAGATGCCATTTTGTTCCATGAGTTTACAAAAAAAAATAAAAAGATAATATCAAGGTCAGAGAGGCTGTGGAGAAATTGATTAAATGTAAATTGTCATGCCACTTTGGGGGGGCAATTTAGCAGTATCTACATTAACACTAAAAATGCACGTACCTGAATGCTCAGAAGCACCTGGTATACAAAGAATTTACAAAGATTTTCACTGTGTTATGTAAAAGCCATAAATTGGGAATATCCTCAGTATCATCAATAGACTCATACCCCAAATAGGCTGTGGTATATCCATAATATGGAACAGAATACAAGAGGTGAAAAGAACAAAGTAGGTTTATTTGACATTGAAAAACTTTGCCAATAAGTTGATGAGTAAAAAAAAAAAAAGCAAGGTTGTAAGAAAATAGAAATAGTATAGGAAATTCTCATAAAACAAAAAAATAGAAAAAATTTCCCATAGAAAAGACATTCCCATAAAACAAAACTATATTTTTTTTAAGATAAATGAAGGTAAGAATCTAAATACACACTGAAGATTGAGAAAACACACATCAGGCTAATAATGGTGAGGACCTGTGGAGACAGCTGCTCTCTCTGAACTACCTGGCTTTTCCCAGAATGATATGTTCACATATGTTTGTATAATGTGAAATATAATGTAATTTAAAAAGAGGGAAAACAGAGGGCTCTCAAGAGACTTCCATGTGGAGGTGACCTCTACTCTACTGGCAAGCCTGAGTCCTCCCAAGAGCGGAGCCTCTGGAAAGTATGGTGTGCTCTTGGCCTCAAAGAAAGAGCTGGGAAGCTCCAGGGAAGCCTCTAGTTCCCTAAGGTATCCCAATACAAAGATGAAACCCCTCAGGAAACTTGGCTTGGGGGACTGGGCTGTTATTTTGGCAGGTGCAAATTGGGTCTCATGGGGCCTGAGGATATATGATTTGGGGGCCTCTGTAAAAAAAGAGAACCCAAAATTTTGAGCACAAAATGCCCATGGCTATCCTAATACCACCCAGTATGGAGTAAATGGTGACAGGGGAAGTGTGAGTGAAAAGAGAGAGTAGTCTTAAGTGACTGTGGTTAAAATGTTACTTTTGCCAATTTTACAAAACTATATGACCACGTGAACACATTGTTAGGGTCCCTCGCAGGGCCTTGGAAGGGGCCATCCAAGCGAGGGGCCCTGAAATTTCACCTCCCTTATCTTCATGGAAACCCATCTCTGGACAAATGCCTTGGGTCAATTATCCTCGAGGACAGGGGGCCTCCTTCCGTGGATATATGAGGCACAAGATTAAGTCACAGAGAATCTGAAAATAGTGCCCTGGGGGAACATTTTACTAGTATACTTGGTATTTAAAGTCCATTTCAAGTCAAAATAAAAACCAGTGGCATGCAACCTAAATCTCCCCGGGGGATTTTCTTTAAAGTTCCTTACCATTTCCAAATTCTCTGAAGTCACGGGTTCAAGAGTATTCTGAGGAGAAAAGTGAGAAATTAATTCACAACAGGCTCGATGTATGTGCCCCCTTCCCCTTTAATCTCTTTCTCCCCATCACTGCTGTCAGCAGTGAACTCATCCTGTAGACACAGAGGACTGGTATTTGCGTGGTCCGCAGGCCCGCAGGATTTTAACACGGGATCCTTACTGTCCAGGATCTTAGAATGTAGGAGGGGGAACTGGAAATAGTGATAGGAAGAAATATGAATGAACAGAGGTAAGGAGATCAGTCAGGAGCCCATTCCAAAAATCTAAGTTGAAGCAAATATTTCTGATTGGCAAAATATATTGGCGATGTTGACAATTTTATTTAACCAACTCTAAACGTAACTCATAGTTACCAGGACTACCCCTGCAACTGGTGTTAGTTGGTGCCTCCTCGGTGTATGGAAACAGTGATTTATGGTGAGAAACATCTCCATTCCAAGGTGGTTTTCCCAGCTGGATAATAAATGAAGCCCTCAAAAAAATCTACCTATGGGGCATTGAGTATGATGCTGTGGTGTTGGTTCATAAGAAGCAGGAGGTATGTTCTTAACAATCCAGAAATTTATCATCTAGTTAACTAAAAAAAACTTCCGTGCACAAAAGGATAACTAAAAATCAAGGTAGTGTATGGGAAGTGCCAAAAAAGGGGTACAAGAAATAAATTCTGTAAGAGTTTAGAGGAGGAAGATCTCTGGGCTGGTGACTCTTCAGGGATCAGGACTACACCCCACTTTGAAGACATTCACTGGGGAGAAAAGGCCCTTGTTTGAAGCCACTCAGTGAGCTCAGCAGTGAATGTGAGTCTGTCTCGCTCTCCTGTATTAATAATTTCACAATTCTTTAGCACCTGATACAGTGCATTTTAAAGGCACACCCAATTAATAATTGTTGTTGGCTAAAAAAATAACAAGTGCACATTGGATAGATAAGCAAATTAAGTTTCAAAATAGTATTTACTGAGGAACTATATTTTAAAGACAGAGCACAAGGCCCAGGGATCACATGTAACTAAACTGAAATGGGGGTGCCTGGCAGGCTCAGTCGTCGGTGGAGTGTGCGACTCTTGATCTCGGGGTCGTGAGTTCAAGCCCTATGTTGGGCATAGAGATGACTTTTTAAAAAATTTAAAAATAAAAAAATAAACTGAAATGGTAGAGCTCCCACTTTGTAAGAATAATATGAAGAGGGCGCCTGGGTGGCTCAGTTGGTTAAGCGACTGCCTTTGGCTCAGGTCATGATCCTGGAGTCCCCGGATCGCGTCCCGCATCGGGCTTCCTGCTCAGCAGGGAGTCTGCTTCTCCCTCTGACCCTCTTCCCTCTCGTGCTTTCTATCTCTCATTCTCTCTCTCTCTGAAATAAATAAAATCTTTAAAAAAAAATAATATGAAGAATATATGTATTCCTATATATTGAGAACAACCAGTTTATACCATAATCTGGGAAATTCAGTGAGGCCTGAAAGGATTATTTCAGTCCAGATGGGGGAAAAAATTACCAATGAGGCAGGAATCAGGACAAAAGACCGTTCTCCCAGAGAAATGCCTGGGAGTGGTCTTGGTGGAGAGGCAACTCTCAGACAAGAGAGAGTGGGGCTCCCACTACTACCGAGGACACCTCTACTTTTTAATATATTATTTTAACCAAAGCAAATCAATTTTGGAGTCATGGGCCAGTGTGCCTGCAGTCCTCTCTTACAGCCTCCGTAAGGCCCCATTCGTCCTGAAATCCCCAGGAGGATTTAGGCGAGGTGTGGGTCAAGGGGAGGGAGAGACATCAGTGGAAAACAAGGACTTTTCCTACCAGTTGTGGCTGTCTGGCTTTTTTCTTCGGATTTAGAGCAGGTTGGGGGTGCTCTACTTCCTTGAGCCAAGACTCCTTGGGCAATTTATACACATCCAGCCAAATATCTCCGGCTCCTGCATTGGGAAACCAAGGAGCCATTGAGCAACTGTGAGCAGGCCACAAGATTCCTATGAGGAACGGCCTGTCTTCTCAGAACCCCTGGCACAGGGACCAGCAGGGACCCTTGTAACAGCCACTTGGGCAAACGGAAGGAGACATGGTCCTGCAGTGGGTCGCTGCCAGTCCTCACTCCCCCAGAGCTGTAGGGCGCTTCCCCTCAGGCCACCGCCCTCTGAAGGAAACCAGGCTCCTCACACTCACAGCACTGATATCACAGTTTTGAACCAAGCTGTCTGCTCTGCCCGGTCCCCATGTTTTCTAGGTTCCAAGTGGTAAATTACACCGACATTTTGTCATACAGCTTGTCCTGTCAGGGGAGGAAGGCGGTATTATAGAGTCCATAACTCTATAATGGGTATGGCTGAGGGCTAGAATTGGGAGAGATCCCTCCAGAGCATCCTTCTGATATTTGAGGAAATGACCACCCATGGAAGTGGTTGTGGGGCTTTAACTTGTCACAGAAACACGTTCAGCTTCTATACCCAATACATGTCAACCTGGGAAGGGTTACTTCCCCTTGGTTTGGGACTCTGGCTAAGTGTTTCCTTTAACACGTAATCATCTGGACATCTGGACTTCAGGCTTCTGGCCTCCAGTCCTGGGAGAGAATAAATATCCTTTGTTTTAAGCCACCTGGTTTGTGGTACTTTGTTGGGGCCTAGGAAATATGACAAAGTATAAAAGCTTCCTTTGATGCATAAAGCATTATAAAGTATATAAGCACTTAACATTTTAGGGGCCTGTGGCAAGAATATAGAGGTGCATATACAGTTACGTCTAAATATTTAAAAGTTAAAACTCAAGCTAACAGTCACTTGAATAAAAGAATAAAAGATGTTCTATCACCACAGTAATAATGACAGCAGGTAAGATCCAAGGATGAATGATAGAATTGGTGGGTTATACTTTAAGGGGAAAAGGGATATATGCATAGTCTCAAAGTATCTACCCCCAAATGTTTATCAGTTACTGTGGTGCTTTCAACATATGCCCCCAAATTCTTTGATTCTCCTGCCTCCAGGAAGGGATGCTTAAATCCTCTGCCCTTGAGTGTGACCTGGACGTAGTGACTTGCTTCTAACACAGGATGGGAAGGGAAAAGCAATATCTTAACAGTAGAGGAATCTGGCAGACACCAATTAACTAGGTGATGTTGCTAGCACATACCCCCAATATACAACGACACCTCTGTGGCATCTCCCCCAAATCCGTAACCCTGGTTGAATCATGAGAAACACAGCAGGCAAATTGAAATTGGGTGACATGGTACAAAATATCTGACCAGTATTCTTCAAAGATGTCAAGGTCATGAAAACAAAGAAAGACCGAGAAATTGTCACAGATCGGAGTAGACTAAGAAGACATGATGACTAAATAGAATATGATATCCTGGGTTGAGCCTTGGAACAAAAATAGTAGTGGAAAATGGGCAAAATCTGAAGAAAAAAAAATCCCACCACCTTTAGTTAATAGTATTATACCAATGTCATTGCTTGATTTTGACAAATGTACTGTGGTCATGTTAAATGTTGGTATTGGAAAAGCTGGGTGAAGGGTCCAGGGGAACCCTGTACCTATCTTTACAACTCTCCTGTAAATTGTTTCTAAATAAAAGGTTTGAAAAAAGGTGGTTATCTGGAAGAGACTACAAATCTGAACCTTCTTATCAGCCTTCGGTTAATCTTGCCTTGTAGGAGGAAAGCTGCGAAGTCCCCTCCTTGAGAGATCTCCATCTTTATACAGGTGGTTTGCTTGCTGGCATCATCCTGAAAAGAAGAGAAGGGCTGATGGAGTAAGCTCAGCCTGACGACGGAGAGGAATGTGTTTCAGGGTCTTTTGTGGGTCGCACCAGGGAACATAAATCCTCTTAGAGCCTGAGACATGAAAAGATGCCTCAAACTGCTTCATACTTCCCATTTTTGTACAGCAGTTGGACAAGATCGTATATAAAGAAGTGGAATTTCGATTTCCTGCCTAAAGGTTTTGGACATATTTCCTGGTTTCTTAAATACTCCTGATGATTGTGGTGATTACATACTATCTGTTCTCCTGGTCATCTCTGCAAACTCTAAAGACCTACGCCAGCACTCAGTTATTCAAAATGAGTCGAACTCAGTTCTATATGACACTGAAAACTGGTCAGGTGTTGGAGAAAGGCTCTATCTGGACTACAACAGTGTCTTCGTCTGTTCAGGCTGCTATAACAAAATACCATAGACTGGCTGGCTCATAAACAATAAACCTTTATCTCTCACAGTCCTGGAGGCTGAAAAGCCAAGATTTCCAGATTTCAAGAATCTGGCAGATTCAGTGCCCGGGGAGAGCCCATTTGCTGGTTTGTAGACTTCCTGCCTGCCACCTTCTCAGGGTGCCCTCTCATGGTGGAAGGGTTGAAGGAGCTCTCTTGGGCCTCATCTAAGGGCACTCATCCCATTTATGAAGGCTCTGCCTTCATGACCTAAACACTTCCCAAAGGCCCCACCTCCTAATACCATCTCACTGGGGATTAGGATTTTCAACCTGAATTCTGTGGGGATGCAAACATTCAGTCCATAGCAAGAAGAGACTGACTGTAACCCTAGTATGAAATCTGCTCAAATTTCAGGCCAGGTGAGAGACTCAATGTTCATGGTTGTCCGTGGCTTGCTTTTTCATTTTCTTAATTGTATCTTTATAATAATGAAGATAATTGTTATTAAGACCTTTGTTAATAGGTGTTTGCATTTTGTTGACTTTTTTTGAAAAAAATCAAGTTGTAATGTTTTATTACAAATTAAAAATGAGGTGCTTAAAATCTCAACTTGGCTAGGGGCACCTGGGTGGCTCAGTTGCTCGAGAGTCCAACTTTTGATTTTGGCTCAGGTGGTGAGATCAAGCCTCGAATCTGGCTCCACGCTGGGCATGGAGCCTGCGTGGGATTATCTCTCCCTCTCTCTTTGCCTCTCCCCCACCACCCGAGGCTTGCTCTCTCTTTCTCTCTCTCTCTCCAAAATAAATAAATAAATAAAAATAAAAATCTCAACTTGGCTAGATATGAAACAATTTAAAAACCTTTAAGGGTGTATCAAGAAAAACCAGACTTTTTGAAAAACCCATTTGGTATTACCAAAAAGAGATATCTTTAAGTAAAAATAAAAACCAGATGCTGCAGATAATGCCACTAGTTTTAGCTGTCTGGTCAATGGTAGAAAAACAAGCACTTAAGGTCTTCAGCTCCAGTCTTTTTTTCACTTCTAACCACCAGAGTGTCAATTTCACCCACCCTCCCATCTCCACCCCCCCCAACCCTGCCCCTCTGGCAACCACCAAGTTGTTTTCTGTATTTAAGAGTCTGTTTCTTTTTTTCTCTGTTCATTTGTTTTGTTTCTTAGATTCCATATAAGAGTGAAATCATATGGTATTTGTCTTTCTCTGTCTGACTTATTTCACTTGGAATTATACCCTCTAGATGCATCCATGTTGCAAATGGCAAGATCTCATTCTTTTTTATGGCTGAGTAATATTCTATTGTGTCTGCATATACCACATCTTCTGTATCCGTTCATCTATCAGTGGACACTTGGGTCCTTCCATAATTCGGCTATTTTAAGTAATGCTGCAGTAAACACCGAGGTGCATATATCTTTTCAAATTAGTGTTTCATTTTCTTTGGGTAAATTCCCAGGAGTGCAATTACTGGATCATGCGGTATTTCTATTTTTAATTTTTTGAGGAATTTCCATACTGTTTTCCACAGTGACTGCACTGATTTACATTCCCACCAACAGTGCACAAGGGTTCCTTTTCTCCACATCCTTGCCAATTCTTGTTATTTCTTGTCTTTGATTCTAGGCATTCTGACAGGTGCAAGGTAATATCTCATTGTGATTTTTTCATTTGTATTTCCCTGATGATGAGTGATGTTAAGCATCTTCATGTGTCTGTTGGCCATCTGCATGTCTTCTTTGAAGAAATGTCTGTTCATATCTTCTGTCCATTTTTTAATTGGATTATTTATTTTTTGGGTGTTGAGTTGTAAAAGTTCTTTATATATTTTGGATACTAACTTTATCAGATAGGTCATTTGCAAATATCTTCTCCCATTCTGTAGTTTGCCTTGTCATTTTGTTGATGGTTTCCTTTGCTGCGCAAAATCCTTTTATTTTGGTGTAGTCCAGATAGTTTATTTTTCGAGATCACTCCTTGTTGGCTGACTGAAGTGCATGATGGTACAGGCGGTAAGCCTGCATTTGCTCAGCCCCGCCCTGCTCAGCCTCAGGAGCCGTGGAGTCTCACCTGAATTCTCAGCTGCTTTTGTCCCTTTGCCATCTTATGGCCTAGGTTTTCCGGGCATTTATATCAGTAGTAGAAGTTGAGGGGTTAAGGTGGCTGCTGATCTTGGGTCTCATCTCCTTGATTTTCCTTCTCCTATTCATTGCTGTCCTCTGTAGACTGTCTTCAGTGAGAAGAGCCCATCCCCTGATACAGATTCTCTCACTGCTTATCTTAACATTATTCTCTCACCATCTACCTGCTTCTGCACCCTGCTTGTCAACCCGCTCCATCCCTTCTGCACAGGAGAGTTGGTGTAGGTGCGATGGGCTTCCGCAGGGTCTCCACCCACCTGCAGGTGGGGACTGTCGCCTGCGCTGGGCCCAATGCTGTGGGGCCTGACCTTCAGGGGCATTCTCTGACCCCTCATTCCTTTCCTTACTCTCACGAGTCTGGAATCCTACTGGTAATTCCATGGCCCTAGACATGGACGGTGTTCACAGTGGTTCTCTTCTGCTGCGGATTTACTGCCTTGCACTGAACTCCACCAGGGCCTGTAAGGCCTACTGCCTCTGCACACTTTCTCCTCCAACAACATCAAACTCTTCCATCTCTCCATCTCCTATACCGAAAAGTCCCTTCTTGGGGTTACTCTTTATGGCAGTCTGCTATGCAAGTACATCTTGCTTGGTGTCCTTGCTGCTAATGAAACCATGTCTGTTCTGCACATGGAACCATCTGACTGGTCCCTAAACCTCTGTTGCCATGACCTCCTTGTCCCCACCAGCAGGTGCCACAGCTCCCTGCACCGTGGCAGGTGGCGTGGGTGGGGGCATGGCAGTGTGGGCGGTGCCATTGTGGAGGTCCCTGCTGGGTCTCTGCCCCACTGCTCAGGATTGTGGTCACTCTGGTATCGGCTGCGGCTCCTCCTGGGGTGTAAGGCTCCTCCTGGGGTGTGAGGGTCACTGACCAGCACTGGTGGGGCCACTCAAGGCCCTCAGGCTCCAGTCAGCTCCTGCTACAGAGTGAACTCTAATCACATCTTTTGATGAGAAGTTTTAATTTTTTAAAAATTACTATGTCCCTAATAACATATACCAACTACACATGCTTAAAGTGTGCAATTTGATGTTTTGACATATGTGTACCCCTTGAAACCATCCCCACAGGACCATGAACATATCCATCACGCCCAAAAGTTTCCTCCTGCCCTTGGTAATCATCCCCTTCAACTTCCTCCCACCCCACCGCAGGCAAAACTGATGTTCTCTGTGACTACATTAGTCTGTATTTTCTAGAATTTTATATATAAATAGAATCATATGGTGTGGTCCACAATAGCCAAACTGTGGAAAGAGCCAAGATGTCCATCGACAGATGAATGGATAAAGAAGATGTGGTATATATACACAATGGAATATTATGCAGCCATCAAAAGGAATGAGAGCTTGCCATTTGCAACGACGTGGATGGAACTGGAGGGTGTTATGCTGAGTGAAATAAGTCAATCAGAGAAAGACATGTATCATATGACCTCACTGATATGACGAACTCTTAATCTCAGGAAACAAACTGAGGGTTGCTGGAGTGGTGGCGGGTGGGAGGGATGGGGTGGCTGGCTGATAGACACTGGGAAGGGTATGGGCTATGGTGAGCGCTGTGAATTGTGAAAGACTGTTGAATCACAGATCTGTACCTCTGAAACAAATAATGCAATATATGTTAAGAAAAAAAAAAAGAAGAAGATAGCAGGAGGGGAAGAATGAAGGGGAGTAAATCGGAGGGGGAGACGAACCATGAGAGACGATGGACTCTGAAAAACAAACTGGGGGTTCTTAGAGGGGAAGGGGGTGGGGGGATGGGTTAGCCTGGTGATGGGTATTAAAGAGGGCACGTTCTGCGTGGAGCACTGGGTGTTATGCACAAACAATGAATCATGGAACACTACATCAAAAACTAATGATGTAATGTATGGTGGTTAACATAACAATAAAAAATTATTTAAAAAAACTAATGATGTAATGTATGGTGATTAACATAACAATAAAAATTTAAAGAAAAAAAGAATGAGAAGGTATATGACAACAACTTACAAATGTAAAAGCTGGCAAATATCACTAACCTCACAAAATCTGGAAAAATAAAATAATATTGAATTAAAAAAAGAATCATATGGTGTGTACTCTTCTTGTGTCTGACTTCTTTCACTCAGCATAATTATTTTAAGATGTATCCATGTTGTTACGTGCACTAATAGTTCATTCCATTGTGTGGGTATACCACAATTTGCTTATCCACTCACCTGCTGATGGAGATTTGGGTGGCTTCCGGTTTTTATCTATGACACATGCAGCTGCTTATAAATATTCACGTACATGTGTTTGTATGGAGATATGCTCTCAGTTCTGTGTAAATATCAAGGAGTGGAACGCCCGGATCGTATGGTAGGTGTATGTTTAACATTTTTAAAAAACTGCCAAAAAGGGGTGCCTGGGTGGCTCAATCATTAAGCGTCTGCCTTCGGCTCAGGTCATGATCCCGGGGTCCTGGGATGGAGCCCCGCATCGGGTTCCCTGCTCCACTGGAAGCCTGCTTCTCCCTCTCCCACTCCCCCTGCTTGTGTTCCCTCTCTCACTGTCTCTCTCTGTCAAATAAATAAATAAAATCTTTAAAAAAAAAAAAAAAACTGCCAAAGGGGTACCTGGCTGGCTTAGTTGGATGAGTGTGCAACTCTTTTTTTTTTTTTAAGATTTTATTTATTTATTTGACAGAGAGAGACACAATGAGAGAAGGAACACAAGCAGGGGGAGTGGGAGAGGGAGAAGCAGGCTTCCCGCGGAGCAGGGAGCCCAATGCGGGGCTCGATCCCAGGACCCCGGGATCATGACCTGAGCCGAAGGCAGACGCTTAATGACTGAGCCACCCAGGCACCCCGAGCGTGCAACTCTTGATATCAGGGTTGTGAGTTTGAGCCCCACGTTGGGTGTAGACATTACCTAAATAAATTTAAAAAATAAAATAAAAAAAACCCTGCCCAAATGATTGTACCATTGTACTTTACCACCAGCAGTGTATCAGAGTTCTGGCTGTTCTGTATCGCTGCCAACGCTGGGTACGGTCACTCTTTTTAATGTGAGGCATTCTAATGCCTGTGTAGTGGTAGCTCACTGTGATTTTGACTTGCGTTTTCCTAATGACTAAGGATGCTGAGCATCTTATTTACTTTCCATATATCTTTTTTGGTGAACTGTCTTTTCTTTTCAAACCCTTGCCCATTTTGAAAACTGGGTTGTTTATTGCCTTATTTTTGAGTTTGCGTTTTGAGAGTTCATCGCATGTTCTGGATACAAGTCATTTATCAGATAGGTGATTTACAAATATTTTCTCCCAGTCCACTGCTTGTCTTTTTATTCTTTTACTAGTGTCATCTACAGAAGTTTTTGATTTTGATGAAATCCAACTTATCACTTTTTATTTTATGGGTTGTGCTTTTGATGTTGCAGCTAGAAACTCTTTGCCAATCCCAAGGTCACAAGACTTCCTCCCATGTTTTCTTCTAGAGGTTTTATGATTTTAGATTTTACAGATAGACATGTGACCCATTTCAAGGTAATTTTTGTGTATGGTATGAGAATAAGAAAATTTTAACTTTGATGAAGTCCACTATCAATTTTTTCTTTTATATTTAGTGCTTTCCATGTCCTAAGAAATCTTTGCCTTCCCCAAGGTAGCTAAAATATTTTCCTGTGTTTTCTTCAAAAAGGATAATGTTTTTAGCCTTTACATTTAGACCTATAATCCATCTCAAATTATTTCTCATATATGGTGCAAAGTAGGGTGGAGGTTCATCTCCCCCCTACTTGTTAATCTAGCATTCCAGCATCATTTGTTGAAAATACTTTCTTTTCCACACTACTTGCTTGTATACCCATCAGTGGTATTTTTTACAAGTTAAACTGCAATTAAAAAATCTACTCTGAGCAATCCCTCTCTCTCTCTCTTTTTTTTTTTTGGACTCATCAATTCACAAAACACTTTCGGAGACCCCACAGTGTACAGGCAGTGTGCTAGGAACAAGGGATACGTGGGTGAATACATGTCCCCTGCCCTCAGGATGGTTATGTCCAAGAGAATAAGTAGTCATACAAACAACTAAGTATGGAGGGTGGAGAAAACACTATGATAGAGATTCTGTTCTGTATGGGGGTGGACAGAGGAGGGAGACAACAGGTCCTTTGGGGCATCTCAGGGAAAGTATCTCAGAGAAGGAGATATCTGAGCTGGTCTTAAAGGAAATGTAAGGGAGTGCGGGAAATTTAAGAGGCACACATAGTAGGTAGGGAGGCAAGGGGAGCACTCTGAGCAGAGGGAACAGCACAGGCAAGGGAACAGGATGTGAAGCAACCTGGAAAATTTAGGGACTTGTAAATAGTTGCTGAATATTTGGTCTGGTGCTCAGTCTGGACTAGAGTTCCTTAGTGACTTTCTTCTCCTGACAACAGGGTAAATAAATCCAAAGCATTCAGCATGTACCCTCAGCTGGTGGGGGATCTTTAAATTGGATATTTTAGAGGAGGCTCTCTGTCCAGAGAGTTTCTATCTTTCTACTCTAGGACAGCTGTCGTCACCTCCATAGTAAAAGTAAACTTCATTTGCTACAGCCTTTGGCCCAGCTCTAGGTGAAAGAACAGGAACTTACCACTTCATTGATGGCTTTGATTAGGAAAAGCCCATCCTTATAAAAATAAAACAGTCTAGCAATACCTGAAACAGAGAATGTAAGACAGACAAATGAATCAAAGAAGAACTGGAATTTTGTATCTGACTTTCTGAATTATCATCTTGTGCTCACGGATTTTTTTTTTAATTTTTATTGTTATGTTAATTACCATACATTACATCATTTGTTTTTGATGTAGTGTTCCATGATTCATTGTTTGTGCATAACACCCAGTGCTCCACGCAGAACGTGCCCTCTTTAATACCCATCACCAGGCTAACCCATCCCCCCTCTAGAACCCTCAGTTTGTTTTTCAGAGTCCATCGTCTCTCCTGGTTCGTCTCCCCCTCCGATTTACTCCCCTTCATTCTTCCCCTCCTGCTATCTTCTTCTTTTTCTTTTCTCTTAACATATGTTGCGTTATTTGTTTCAGAAGTACATATCTGTGATTCAACAGTCTTGCACAATTCACAGTGCTCACCATAGCACATACCCTCCCCAGTGTCTATCACCCAGCCACCCCATCCCTCCCACCCACCACCACTCCAGCAACCCTCAGTTTGTTTCCTGAGATTAAGAATTCCTCATATCAGTGAGGTCATAGGATACATGTCTTTCTCTGATTGACTTATTTCACTCAGCATAACACCCTCCAGTTCCATCCACGTCATTGCAAATGGCAAGCTCTCATTCCTTTTGATGGCTGCATAATATTCCATTGTGTATATATACCACATCTTCTTTATCCATTCATCTGTCGATGGACATCTCGGCTCTTTCCACAGTTTGGCTATAGTGGACATTGCTGCTATAAACATTGGGGTGCACGTACCCCTTCGGATCCCTACATTTGTATCTTTGGGGTAAATACCCAGTAGTGCAACTGCTGGATCATATGGTAGCTCTATTTTCAACTGTTTGAGGAACCTCCCTGCTGTTTTCCAGAGTGGTTGCACCAGCTTGCATTCCCACCAACAGTGTAGGAGGGTTCCCCTTTCTCCGCATCCCCGCCAACATCTGTCATTTCCTGACTTGTTAATTTTAGCCATTCTGACTGGTGCGAGGTGGGATCTCATGGAGGTTTTGATTTGGATTTCCCTGATGCCAAGCAATGTGTGCTCACGGATTCTTAAGCCTCCTCCTGGCCTCTCCGTGGCGCCTGATGACTCAGTCTTCCTGGCTTCCTCCACCCCTGACTTGACATGTTCAGGCTGTTCCCCCTCCCAGGTCCTCTCTGCCGACTGTGGCCCATCCTCTTGCCCTGAAGCCCGCTGTGAGACACTCCTAACTTGCCCAACACCCGTAATCCGGAAAGGCAAAGGGCCCACTGTGGTGAAGATCTAGCTCAACCCAATAAACATCTGAGGGATAGCTGCTCCATGACCACAAACATGCCAGGGACAACCAAGGCAGTCTCCGCCTTCACATGCATTACACTGAGGATCACACAGACGTGAAACCAAGCAGATGTAATGCAGTGATAAAATACACTCCTATCTTTAGACCAAACTCCTCTTGAGTATCAACTTTCCCCCTCTAGCTGCCTCAAGGCTGTGCATGCTCAAACTTATAGAAAAGTTTCGACAATAGTACCCAGAGTTCCCATATATCCCTTACCTAACTTCCCCAGTGATAGCATCTTACACAACCATAGTATGATTTTTTCTTTCATTTTAACAGCCTGTGCCTCGGTTCAGACTTTCATAATTTCTCTCCTTGATGAAAGCAACAGTTCTTCTTCGCCTCCCTCCCTCCTTCTTCCTTCCTTTCTCCCTTTCTCCCTTTCTTTCTCCCTTTCTTTCTTTCTTTCTTTCTTTCTTTTTCTTTCTTTCCTTTCTTCCTTCCTTCCTTCCTTCCTTCCTTTCTACAGAAGATAAGTTTATTTGGAGATAGTACAGAATTGCATCCCTGGACAAGTAAACTACTAAACAACCATATCTCTGCCTCATTTTGACTTGCTCCTACCATAGTGACCTTCCTAAAATGCCAATCTGGTCAGGTCACTCTCCTGCAGAAACACTGTCCTCCATGACACTGTCTATGGTTCTGTGTACTATCATCCCCATGAGGCCCTGTTTCATCCTCAGGCTGAGGGGAAGAAACAATCCCTGGTTTATATGAGCAGTAGGATTTCTGAGTGCCCAAAGGGTGTGAACTCTGGGTCCACATTGGCTGGTTGGCATCCTGCCTGTGCCACTCACCTTCTACATAACCTCAAGTAAGTTATTTAACCTCAATGCCTTGGTTGCTTCTTTGAAAAACAGGGATAAGAAATTGTACTTACCTCCTAGGGCCATTGTGAAGGTTAAATGGGCTAACCTATGTGCAATGTTAGACTAGTGCTTGGCACACCATCCTGTTCTGTGGATGTTAGTTAATACTACATGACCAAGAAGAACTCTCCAGGTCTGGCCCCACCCATACCTGGAAAGGAGATTAAACTGAACAGTCTACAGATAACTATAAATTCGGCTAAAAAAAAAAGAGGAAGAACATGTACCCGTTTCATCCACAGGAGCGATAAGTATTTCATTCCCCAAATCTGTGGCCCAGATGGAAGTGACATCAACTTTAAGTTTCTCCCAAATATATATTCGTTTAGCATTGTACAGATTATAGATGGAGAATCCTTTGGCTCCTCCAATAAAGACATAGTCTTGGGAAATCGCCATACAATTTGGCATTTTGTTGAGCTGGGAAAACAAAAACAAAGAGAAAAGGAATGATTTTCAGCTGCCACCAGCTGCAAGAATATGAGCTAACTTTTCAAAGAGGCATGTGGGCCCTTCCTAGATATAATATCACCCCCAAACAGAACTCATCTAAATATCTTGCCCAAAAATCAAGAAAGTCATAGCATTCTACTTTTAGGAGAAAGGAGCCAGAGCAAACAAATAAGTTGAGAATAAGTACACATTTACAACGCTAACCATAACCACAAGCCCTGTGATGAGTGGACAAGTGGCCCCATTCCCTGTACTTTTTTTGTCTAGAATGCTGTGGAAAGAGCTATAGCTGAGACATTGGCAGATTCTCAACCATCAAGCAAGAGAGTGATTAATACATTCAGAAATATTTTTAAATAACAACAGAATATAAAAGACTTTCTGTATAATCTTCAACTAATCAGAACACCCATTCCTCCCAGGTAATTACTAGATCCATTTTAATCAACATCAGCATGCCTAGTAATCTTTCAAAAATGTACCTATCTTAATGAGTAGGTTCCCTGTAGGAGTTCCTTCCCTGGATCAGGTATTTTCATTTATTAACCCTCAACTGGGAAACAGGAACTCCTGGTCAGCTGCTCCATACCTTGCTTTCTACAAGTGGAGGGTAGGTTGTGGGCTGGGTCCGGTTGAACTCAACGTCCCTCAGTGCATCCCTCTCCTGGATAACTTCCCAACATTTGTCAAACAGAAGGTTCACCATCTTGTTGATCATGCGATAAGGCTGTGGCAGGGAATCCACCTCCTGACCCAAGTCTACGAAGACATAATCATCTTCATCATCCTTAGGCCAGTCCTTCTCTGTTGGGGACGGCACCTCCAGCAGCCCCTTTCTCATAAAACTGGAGAACCTCTTCTGGACTTGACTTCCTCTGGGGATTGACATCACAGAAGCTGGCACTGGGAACGTCTAGGAAACTCTGAAAAGCTGATAAAGGAAGCAAGCAAAGGTACTTTGAGAAAAAAGGGAAGTTATCAGAAGACAGCACATCATCCTCTCGAGCCCAAAAACCCATGGGGACTATTTATTCTAGAGACTGGCACTTTTCTTATTTATCACGGGATTGTTACCACATCACTAAAGAATGATCTTCATATTATAAGGATATCAGCAGAAACGGGTATCAACGAGTCACATCTTCCAGGCCAGCTCAAGATGATGGGTGCTATGGCACAGGGAGAGGAAATGTGGCATCCTTGTTGCCTTTCTCCAGCTCCTACTCAGAGAGTGTCTGTCTGGGTGCCAACTAGAATCCAACCGCTCTCCTACAACTTAGGTCTTCTCCTTCTTCCATCTCTGCAAGTGGCTGTGCCCAGGCCAGCTGGGTAGTGAGCCAGGACTGCTCTCCATCCTTTCCCTCGCCTCTGACCAGATGCCCTTCAAGCACTTTTAATCCTTGCTGTCTCATTTGGTCCTTTCTCTCTAGACCCACTGCTACCAACCAGGAGTTCTGTAGACCGAGTGCCAGGGCCTGTGAGATTTTTCTAGGGCCTACAGAAATGTTTGAAACTCAGGAAAAAAAAAAACAGACTAAAACAAAACAAAATCCTCACAAAATCAAAATAATTAAACATTCACAAAAATATTACAACTTATCAGCTCCCGTCTGCATGTGTGCGTAACGTTCCAGTCCATAGAAAAGAACAAGTAATCTGAACTTCATAAAATTCAAAACCGTACAAATTATAAAAAGGCTTTCAAAATTACAGTTAAATAAAGACATTTAATGTGGCACATGGGGTCCATTTTAAGATGCTTCACCTGTAGCAGAGTGGGGTCTTGCACTGTCAGGGCAATAAAAAAAAAATGACCTGGCATGCAGAGGCAAGAAAACACAGCCATAATAAAAGAGAAAAGTCAGTCAATTGAAGCTGACTCATCATTAACACAATTGTTAGAATTAGCAGACAAAACAGTTATAAATGTATTTCACATGTTCAAAAACCAAGAAGAAATGTTAGCTAGAGATGTGGAAGATGCCAAGAAACCCAAACTGAACTTTCAGAGATGAAAACTACAATGTCTGAGATGAAGAATTCGTTCGATTAGATTAATCACAAGCTCTCAGAGCAAAACAAATTAGATGGACAGAAGATTAGTAAATTTAAAGATATAGCAATAGAAATATTGAAACAAAGAGAAAAAAATGAAGAAAGTGAGGTGTGAGAGAACCTGAAGTAGCCTAATATAAGTGTAATTGAAATCCCCAAAGGAAGGAAGAGGCAAAAAAAATCTGTAAAAATAGAGAAAATATTTCTAAATTTGATGAAAACTATAAACTCACAGATCCAAGAAGAAAAACAAGTCCTAAGCAAATGAAACACAAAGAAATCTATACCACAGCACATCATGAGCAAAACTAGTGATAAAGACAAAATTTGAAAAGCAGCCAGAGGAAAAAAGACATGAATAAAGGAACAAAATAAAGGATGACAGCAGATTTCCTAAGGAAACCACCAGTGAAGAACAGTAGAGCAGTGTTCTATAACACCCAACCCAGTAACAGCAGTGGACAGCTTTTTTTTAAGTACACATAAAACATTTATCAAGACAAATCCTATTCTGAGCCATAAGCCAGGTCTTAATAAATTTAAAAGTACTCAAGTCATATGAAGTACGTTTTCTGACCACACAAAATTATTTTAGAAATCAGTAACAGAAAGATATTTAGGAATACACAAAACCTAAGAAGACCTAAATAAGTGGACAGAGATACCTTGCTTGTGATTGGAAGACTCAGTTTTGTTAAGATGTCAATTCTCCCCCAATTGATCTATAAATTCAACACAATCTCTATGATAGTCCCAGCTGGCCTTTTTTTTTTTTAAGGAAATTAAGAAGTTGATTTTATAATTCATATGGAAATGCAAAGTACCTAGAATAGCCAAAATAACGTAGAAAAAGGACAGAATTGGAGGGTTAATACTACCTATTTCAAGACTTATTATAAAGCCACAGTAATCAAGACAGTGTGGTACTGGCATCAGAATGCACAAATAGATCAGTGAAACCAAATAAAGCATTCGGAATTAGACTCACATATGTATGGACAGTTTATTTTTGACAAAGGTGCAAAGATAATTCAGTGGAAAAAGGATAATTTTTTCAATAAAGCTGCAGCAATTTGAAATACACATGAAAAAGAAAATGAACTCTGGTGGTGCCTGGCTGGCACAGTCGGTAGAGCATGCAACTCTTGATCTTGGGGTTCTAAGTTCAAGCCCCAAGTTCGGTGTAGAGATTATTTAAAAATAAAATCTTTTGGGGTGTCTGGGTGGCTCAGTCCTTAAGTCTCTGACTCTTGGTTTCTGCTCAGGTCATGATCTTAGGGTCCTGAGATGTAGCCCCACTCAGCGAGAGTGTGCTTGGGATCTCTCCCTTGCCTGCCCCCCACTCCATGCCCTTGAGCACACACTCTCTCAAATAAATAAAAATAAGCCTTTAAAAATAAATATTTTAAAAATAAAATAAAAAATAACCATATGGTATGTGGGTCTCTATTTGTAGTCCTCCCCTGGGGCCTGCAAATGTTAAGGGCAGGCCTGACCAAGGGAATAAAGGTCACAAAAATAGGTGACCTCACTTTTTGATTGTAGGGGGTATATTTTGTAATATTACTGCTATGGAACGGGTGGGATTCCACGTCTTCAAGCCCCAAAGAACCAACGTTCAGTGGTGCAATTTCGTCGTAATCGATTTCTGTCTCCACTTTGTCCATATTAACCCTTCTAGGATTTCCTCAGGTAGCAATCTTCTTTGAGTACTCAATGGTCCGAAGAGAAAATTCACTTTACCCAGATCTTCATGCTAGAACTACATACCACGCATTGGCTTCTCTCTGCTCTAACCATTTCCTTCCCTAGACCTGGAGCTGGTGTTGCTCAAGGGAAACCGAGGTACAGAAGTGGGAAATGATTAGGCCCCAAAGTCCCCAAGCAAAACCTCAGGGGAATCTCCATTCGGGATGCCGCATGGGGTTCCTGAGTTCCCAGGATCTCCGGGAACGCCGGAGGCGGGGGATATGCACCCCCCCACACCGAGTCCCCCTCTAGGAGACCCTAGATGTCGAAGGGCGTCCGGGGACACGCGGGGAACCGCTGAACCCGGGCCCGGAAGCCTAGTTTCAGCTCACCTGGGCCGGGAGCGTGGCGTCGCCTTAGTAACGGCCACTTCCGGCCCCCACCGGAAGCCCGCAAAGTTGTTCTTCGGAAGGCGTGCCCGCCCCCACTGGGGCGGGGAGACTCAGCTTCTCCCGCGGGGACCTGGTGACACCCATGAGGACTCGCGACTGAACCCGGGGCGACACGTGGCCTCGGGCCGGGAGCCATGGAGGGCTTCATCCGCTTCACCAACCAAACCCAGGGCCGGGACCGACTCTTCAGGTGAGTCAGGTGCCCGCGGCCTCCACCTCTTCCCGGTGCTGCGACCCGAGCTGGGTCTCGGGTCCTCCGGCTTCGGGAGGAGGGACTTGCCCAGTGGACGGCGGCGGGACGGAGTTCGGTTCCGGAGCCCTTCTCGCCGGCACTCTGCCGGACCGGACCCCGCGGTGCGGCCGAGCGTCCGCCGGACAGCCCGGTGTGTGGCCCCGGAGCCGCCCAGGCCCTGACCGTGGTGGACCAGTCCACCAGCGCTCTCCTAACCTGGGAAAGACCGGGTCCTCTCCACTCAGCGTTTTTCCCGGGATTTTTTTTTTTTTTTTTTTTTTTATTTTTTTTTTTTTTTTAGTTAGAGACGGACACACACACACAATGAGAGAGGAAACTTCAGCAGCGGAAAAGGAGATTATCTTTTGGGCAGTTCTAGACAGTTCCCCACCGGGATTTTTTTTTTTTTTTTTTTTTTAAGGATTTTGTTTTTTTAAGTAGTCTCTACACCCAAGGTGGGGCTCGAGCTGGCAACCCCGAGATCAAGAGGTCCACCACTCCACCGACTGAAGCCAGCCAGGCGTCCCCCGGGATTTTTTTTTTTTTTTTTTGAGATGAACTTTGGGTTGGCATTTGTGGCCAGGGAAGTCAGCCACTTCGTTGTGGCTTCAAATACCCCATGAAATGCTTATGGAGAGACAGAAGTTGTATTTATCTTCTATTATTGCCCTGTCTACATCGTTGAGATTGTAGGGAAGGAAAAATTCTCCCTCTACCCTCAAGGTCTTTCAACTAGACTAAGAATTAAGTTTACACGGAACAGGTTCACAGGAGGGAGGGGGAGAAGAAGATGTGTGCACAGAGGCCCAGTATTGAAATTAAGACCTAGAGAAATGCCCCAGGCAGGCAGTGTTTCTACATGTTAGACAAACAGACAATACATTTGTGAGGAATTGACAGGATAAAGAAAACAGGTGTTTGGGAGCTTCATTTAGGCGGGAATCCTAAACAGGATTTAGGCTGAGGTAGTAGGATTAGGAAAAAAGTAACGAGGTTTGTTTCTACAACTTTCTCTGTTTTAAAGCTCCTATCTCTGGTGATAAGAGATACTACTTCCTTAGTAGAGGGAGGGTATTTTTCATATGGGAGATGTGTTTCCTACTTTCCGGGGGACAGAGGAGGGTCTGAGTGTCCTTGCACTGGCTGTCTCTTAAGTAACTTATTTAGAATAATCAGTATGCCCAAGTGGCACATTTTGGGGTGGCCTACCCTCCGCCCCTACAGTTCCCTTTTCTGAAACTTCCCTGGAAGTTTCTTTTTTTTTTTAAGATTTTATTTATTTACTTGAGAGAGAGAGACACAGCGAGAGAGGGAACACGAGCAGAGGGAGTGGGAGAGGGAGAAGCAGGCTTCCCGCCGAGGAGGGAGCCTGATGCGGGGCTCGATCCCGGGACCCTGGGATCATGACCCGAGCCGAAGGCAGACGCTTAACGACTGAGCCACCCAGGCGCCCCTCCCTGG